CCCTTGATCCAAATAAAAGCTTAGTATTCATTTTGAACTTCATAAATAACCTTACTGTCCATTTTGATCTTTATCCCGGTAAATAACTCTGTAAAGTTCTCCGTTTGACTTACACTCATATTAAGAAAATGACACTGTTTGACAATGTTTTGTTTACCAAATAAGAAAATGAGACTTTATTAAAGGACACCCAAAAAGCAAACCTGTTAGCACAACTTTGTGCCTCTTTCATTTTTAGCAATTTAATGAGTTTAGTGGTCCAATTTTTATGCTCATGAGGATTAAGTATAGATTTTAATCATTAGATTTAAATTTAAAAATAAACAGACACCCCATACTCACTTTTTTTTTACCCCGGAAGGCAAACCACCAGAATCAGTGGGGTAAAAGCCGGGGGGTAAATTACTAGAATATTACTGAAGGACAAAGTTTTACAAAGTACACCAAGATAAAACTTAAACAACAAAAAAGAACAGCCAAAACTAAATTCTAAGAGAAGGAAGCCCAAAAAAATGCATCCAATAGGCCCGTTTAGCACAAATTGGCAGCTGCTTTGGAGTGTGAAAAACTTGAATCTGATCAAACTGGGCCGCAGCAAGAAAATGAGCAGCCCAATTTCCTTCCCTCAAAGTATGGCCCAAATTAGCTTGCTTTCTAAAAACGATCTGTGAAACTTCTTGAATAATATCCCTCCATCTTCTCGACTCCTGACCTTCAATGTCATTAAGAGCTAGTTTACAATCGGTTTCTACAGACACCCCATACTCACATTTTCACATTCAATGCTAATCTAACGATCAAGATTAACTCGTTAATAAAAATATATTTTTCTTGAGTAAATTTTTTTTTAACACCATCTAACGGTTGAAACTAATACCTCCTCCGTCCCTTGAAACTTTGCTAACTTTACTTTTTTGGTTGTCCCACTAAATTTGTCACCTTCTCTTTTAAGTAAAGAATTTGTAGTTCCAGTTGATTCTCTCTCCTCTGCACAAACCTCAATCACACAGTTTTTACTTTATTAATCCTCGTGCCGGTCAAACTTGACGAAGTTTTAAGGGACGGAGGGAGTATGGAATATTTGATATGAATAAGCACAAAAATTGAGATAATTGAATTCATCTTTGACCAAAAATGAAAAAGGCCTAATATTGTTCATTTTTGGCCTACCTTACTTGATCATTCTCTACACACACGCACACACACGCGCACACACACACACATCAGTTGCTATACCGTGGGAGCAGTCCACAGTGAGCATGATGCTCCCAACACAGGCACAAACGCATGTTATTGTTCACGTGCGTGAACAACAACTTTTTTTTGTTTTTCATTGTTCATTAGCAGAATGATGTAACTCGCATGTAAATAAATGTAACTCATGCTGATAAGATATGTATCTGCAAGTTAGGCGAAATGTAACTTGTCTAATATGGATTATAAAAAATAAAACATTGATCTCAATAAAAACAAAGAGTCTAATTTGCTCAATCAGAAAGTTAATTAACTAAATTATTGAAAAAAACTACTCCCTCCGTCCCCTTTTAAATGTCCCGTTTTACCATATTGGGATGTCCCTATTTAATTGCCCCATACCTTATTTGGTAAATTTTGTGTGGCTCAAATTCATTCTTACTTTATTCTTACTTTATCAATTAATATCAACCACACAAACTCACTTTTCTTAAAACTCGTGCCACCATCTCCCGTCCCATTTAAAAGGGGACGGAGGGAGTACATGTTATATGTATAAGAAACTGCCCAATTTAAAAAAAAAAATATTTAAGTGACTTCCCTATTAAATTTTAATCTGAAATTCGGTGGATATAATATATACTTCATGGAGAACATTCTCACAAACTTTTATCAAAAAATTCATCCCGGAAGCTCCTCAACTGACAGAGTCCTAAATTTTTTAACTTTTAGACCTACTTTACATAAATATTTTATTGATGAAGAACATGTTCAAAACAAATTCATCAAAAAATTCCACCGGGAAGGACCTCTGATGGCTTTGTCTGTACATGCATATGTACAGGAACAACCCGCCCTCTCTCTCTCTCTCTCTCTCTCTCTCTCTCTCTCTCTCTCTCTCTCTCTCTCTCTCTCTCTCTCTCTCTCTCTATATATATATATATATATATATATATATATATATATATATATATATATATATATATATATATATATATATATATATGTATATATATGTATGTATATATATATATATACACTAGTTCATTTACGCTCGTTGTGCGATGAGAAAATTCCCAACATATCATTGGTAGCATGATATTCACACTATTGGTTGTTATAAGTTATTTTTGTGCATTTGCACACATAAGCTTCTCTGGGTTGGAGATATTTTTACCTTAATCGTTTTTGTTTTTTTGGGGTAAGAGTGGCGTAGCCAGGGCGGTAAACTCGACTTGGCCAGTATAAAGATTTTTTTAAAAAAAAAAGACACTAATATTTTTAACCTAATAATTTAAGCAAAATTAAAATTTGATTTAAGTCGGGGCCTAGCTTGCCCCTATGCTTGAATCTGCATCTACATGCAATTTTAAGACACTATTGAAATTAATATCATGTTCTATATTGCTCTCATATCATATTACGTACTAAGAGCATATTTGGTAACATTTAAATTGACTGAATTGGAAGATTCCGTTGAAATTTATGAAGTTCTAACTTAAGCGGCTGATACCGCTGATTTATGAAAATTTATATTTTAAATATTTTTTATTAATTAAGTAAAGAAAAGACTATATGAAATTTGATAAAATGAACCATTATGGTAACTTCAGTCAATAAAGCTAGAAAATTAGCCTCAACCTTACTTTTTCTTTTTATTACATAATTCAATGCGTAAAAGCAAAAATTATGTACTTTGAAAAAAGTAAACTGATAAACCTAATAAGCTGAAAAATAGGGTCACCGAGTGACTCTAAATTAATCTCCATCACTTCCCCCTACATATTGCAAGAGCAAAAAAAGTGAGGGGGAAGAAGTCGTGAAAAAAAAAGAGGATTAATTGCTGGAAAAAATCAGAACTAACCTAAATCTATACTCAATCAATCAAAAGCATTTCTCTGCAAACATAATCAAAGAATGAAAAATACTACTACGTATATTGTTAAAGGAGAATAGTCATTTTTAGGAATGGGTTGTTGATAGCCATAACTAAATCAAGTTAATCAAGTTAAAGAAATTAATGCTCTTACATGGATGAAAGAAAACATGCACCTTCTCATATATCTGTAACCATTTTTTATTGCAGCTATGCAGAAATTAGAATGATGAAATTAAATGACAATTTAATTTTACATGGAGACAATGCAAATGAAAGATAACGGTGATTGAGTTGGGGAAAGGTCTTGACTTCCTAGTTTAACGGAGGAATATAGAAACATGGGACACTTGAATAAGAGTACAAAGTGTAAAATGTAGTGTACAAGCACCTATTGCTATAAGGACCACCAATACTTTTTTCATACCTAAAAGACCCTAACCCTCATTGGCCTTTATAAGTTTTTAGATTTAGATTATATATATATATATATATATATATATATATATACATATACATATACATATACATATACATATACATATATGTATATGTATATATACATATACATATACATACATACATACATACATACATACATACATACATACATACATACATACATACATACATACATACATACATACATACATACATACATACATACATACATACATACATACATACATACATACATACATACATACATACATACATACATACATACATACATACATGGTGCGGTTCCGGTAAGAACGAACTCTCAGGAGAGAAATGAGAATGAATCTGGACCGTTGGATTGTATTATGTAGAACTGAATTGTGTATTTGGTGAAACTGAAATGTGTATTAGATGATACTGAAATGTGAAGAATTAAAATTAAAACTCAAGTGAGCATTAGATGAAACTGAAATGCATTTTATTTTGCACATTTCAGTTTCACCTAGTGCACATTTCAGTTTCGCCGAGTACTCATTTCAGTTTCACGTAATACACAATTCAGTTTCACATAATGCCATTGTATCGTACTCTTTGTGCTACACATTTCAATTTCACCTAATGCGTACACACACACACACACACACACACACATGTAGGGAAAAGATCACGTGAGAAGTGCGTCTTAGGATGAGTATTGCAAAGTATAAATAATAGAGACAATAAGGTAACTTATATAATATAAATCATGACTTATAAATCCAACAACTCTAAATCAAAAGTATAATTTTATAGTGAAAAATTGAGGAAGTATGAGATTACAATGAAAAACACTAGTAGTAGTTGAAAAATATTTACAAAAAAATATTTATCAAAAAGATATTTATTTATTTACCAAGACATATATGTCCTAATAAACTATTAATACGTCAAACATAACTTATAAAGCCAAATGTTTAACTTTTACAACTTTTTAAATTACTTCGTAGTTTTCAGCCTAAGAAGACTTCTCACCTAATCCGCTCTCTCTCTCTCTCTCTCTCTCTTTGTGTGTGTGTGTGTGTGTATAATTTGGTTCAAGTGAGAATTGTGTCTAATGTGAGAAATGAGAATGAATCTCAACCGTTAGATTTACGATATTAGACCAAAAATAGCTACATGTTGCAGTAATATTTAAATTTTGCAGTGCTGCACTAAAATTGTTTCATGTTTGACTAATATTTGACTATGTTGCACCAAAACAGCTTAATGTTGCACTAGACAACTGTAATACGGATATTTTTAGAAAATGTCATCAAACTAGGTTGCATATTTTAGTGCAATATAAATTATTTTTACTGCAAAATGGTCGAATCCAACAGCTGAGATTCATTCTCATTTCTCACCTAAAGACTTCTTCTTATTTGAACCTCACCCTATTTAGAAAATATATGTATATATGTGTGAGACTAATAATTAGTTAACTTTTAAATTGGTGGCGGGGTGGGGGCAGGAATAACACTCACTTGGTTGTTTTGGCTTCTTGCTAAGAACCCATTGGTTGAAGCAAAGATCTTAGATGAGATCCGTCGTCATCAAAAGCAAAACGACCACAAGCAGGTTGGGAAACCATCAGATGGCGGCGACGGTAATCATAAGGAGCAAGAGGAGATTATTATATTCAATGAAGAAGAATGTCAGAAATTAACCTACCTCCATGCGGCTGTGTGTGAATCCCTCAGATTGTTTCCACCCCTACCTATGAACCATAAGGTGCCTACTGAGAGAGACATTCTTCCCAGCGGGCATGTCGTCACACCCAACACCAAAGTCATAGTGTCTTACTATGCCACGGGGAGGATGGTTTCAGTGTGGGGAGAAGACTGCATGGAGTTCAAGCCCGAGAGGTGGATTTCACCCGCTGGCGGCGGAATCCTCCACCAACCTTCCTACAAGTTCCCGGCCTTTGGCACCGGCCCCAGGAGTTGCATTGGCAGGGAGATGTCTTTCACAGTCATCAAAATGATTGCAGCTACCATACTATGCCACTACCGGTATGAGCTAGCACAACCATGCTCTCCTCATCATCAACCTCAGACCTTTGAATCCATCGTTCTTGATATGAAGGATGACCTCAAGGTCTTCTTCACCCATCGCTAGTTACTTCCTTAGCATATACCCCCTTCCTCTTAAATAATTGCAACGTTTTAAACGCTACTATACACTATTTAGATGTTCTACTTTGACTATGTTTTACTATGTTTTATTTATTACGTATTAATAAATTGTTTTTAAAATGAGATAATTATCTCTACTATTACTAAACCATTGTGTCTTTCCCAAATTTATGACTCCATATATTAGTTTTATTCCTAATCTAACATCCTAATGCCATGCTCCATGAGTAGTAACGGCTCCATGAATAAGGGGTTAATTACGTATAGTAACCACCCCATGTATGTGTTTGGTCATATAATACATACAAAAACATGTATAGTCATATTTTAGGAAAAGTTTTGAGTTTTAGTAATATTGAGGTATTTTTCCCTTTTAAAAAATATTTTTAAATTTGTCTCATTGTAAATTTTCAAAATATGGTTTTTTTATTACTAATAGAAAATTATATATATTAATGATCAAAATTGTGTATCGGCAAATGTGAAAAGTGAGTTGTTGCGTGTATACATTTATTAAGACCGTAGAAAGTATATATTCAGGGGCAGAGTTACGTACCATTTACTTGGGAGGGGCCTTGGCCCCCTCACATTCATAATAATGAATAGGTAAAATCGCACTTTTAGTCCCTGAAATAGTCACCATATTGTAATGTCGCACCTGTGTTCTCCAATTTGTAAATGTCACCCCTCAATTGTCCAAATTGTTTTAAATGTGGTCCTTTAAGGGGTGAAATATACAATGTTGACGAGGAGTAGATTTCACCCCTCAAAGGACCACATTTACAACAATTTGGAAAAATTAGGGGTGACAAATACAAATTGGGGAACATAGATCTGACATTTCAATATGGTGACTATTTCAGGGACTAAAAGTGTGATTTTTCCTAATTAATATATATAGTATTCTGGGACGGATCTGCCATGGGGCCGATGCCCTTGCTTCGGCGGTCCGAGTATAGGATGTGTGATAGCCGTTAAATTTACTTGTGTTTAACATAAGTATTTATAAGTATTTGTTGAAGAAAAGAAGAGAAATCGGGCAAATACCTCCAGAATTAGAGCTAGAGCATAAAACATTGCGATGAACGACTTTTTGGACCAAGAGAATAATGTTCTGCCCATAATTTGAGTATAACTTATTCTATAGAACTCGAAATCACTCGATTCGAGTTTCATGTGAATACTAACTCAATAAGGCACAAATGTTATGAAGACGTCATGGCCAAAATATGAAACGAACAAAACCCAATCAACCAACAACGTCAGATGTTGCTGGTGGGATTTCATGATGCATACCTCTCAGTGTTTTATCCATATCTTTTGATTGGCTGAATAAAATCACGTCATTCAAGTTTTGGTGGATAGAAGACTTCATTATCTACAACTTTGGTGAAGGAATCATGTCCAAATTCGTAGCGGAACATCCCCAAAATCCCAGGACAAAACCGGAATTTCACCAAACCGGCGCCGGTCTGATGTTTTTCGCACATAAATGGCAAACCAGTAGCTTAACCGGCGCCGGTTAGGTCTATTTTTCAGCTTTCCTTGCGCGCAGTGAAGAACCAGTGCCGGCCGGGTCTGAAACCGGCGCCAGTTAGGTCCGATTCTGCATAAAACACAAAGACGTGCAACAATATTTTGATGGGAAAACTTCACCTTCTTCATGATTCGATCAAATATATCTTCCATGTCTGATTGTTGGGCTTGAATAGACTAAAAGATGTCAATCTTTAGCCTATATAAAGCCCCCAATTCATCAAACAAGATCATCATTCCATCCTTGAAGATTAAATTTCAGTTTTTATATTTCCTTTTTGCATTTTCTTGAAGTGTTGGAGAAGAAGCCATTTCTCTCCTCTACAATTGGTTCTAGGTATTATTTCTTGTATGTTATTGTATTTCATTGTTCTTAGTTACACTTTTGTAATTAATATGAGCATTAGAAGCTAAGTTCTTAGCTAAGGCTAGGGATGAACTTCTATGCCCATTAGGTGTTTGATAAAAGTTCTAAAACAATAAATTGTGATTTATCCTTTACATTTTGATTGTTTATGACTATGGTGTACAACATAGAAATATGTTAAACTTAGTTTATGCTTGCAATTAACGTTGAAGTCTAAATTATGAACACTAAAGGATAAACATATATATTATCGAGAATAGAAATATATCCGATATTATATGATACGGGTGTGATGTCTTGATATTCAACGGGGTTTTCGGTAGATGAATGTAAGCCGTAACGGGACTTACACGTAACGAAAACCATGCTCTCGCTGCCTTAACCGGAGTTGAGAATATATTAGCGACATTGTATTCATAATTATTGGTAAAGAACTAATATTCAACCCTATTAAATCATTTTAGTGATTCCCGAAGCCTTAGCCGTTGTTATCATTCATCTTAAATCCGAATTAGTCAAGGTTATTTCCTTGAATTAAAAGTGAAAAGCCAAAAATACAAAACACAACTCAAAAATTCTTGCACTTTACTCATTTATTTATTTAAAGTCATCTACTCTCGGACTTGAATTAAACAATGTTTCCATGTGGATTCGGCCCGGTATTTTACCGGAATTTATTACTATATCGCCACTTGTACACTTGCAAGTTCAAACCGGTCAATGTGGAAAGGGCGTAGGGCAGTAGGAGGGGCCGGCCATAGAGTTTTCCGGCGACTCCTCTCTTTCAGCTTTTGATGGATGAAGAAGATAGATGTTGCGGCCTACGGAAGTTTTTTCTTTTATGAGGGTACGACGTCGTTTGACGTCCCCTCTTAAAAAAATTAAATCACCCAGGGCCAACCGAACCAAGTCCCAACAGCCCAAATCGAAAAGACCAAGCCCTAACCGGCAATTTCAGCCCTAAAACTCCCATTTGACCATCGACCAGCAGCAGCGCCACACGGCCACACCACCAAGCACCAAGCCTCACCTGGACTCCAGCCTCCGGGAGCGAGCTTGCCGCGACTCCGCTAGAATATGCACTCCTTTCTGCCATATGCATCGCGTCGAGCCCGCTGCCCACATTCAGCCATCCTTCCATGGCTCCGCCCACCGCTCACTCGCTGTGTCCGTCCTCAACTTAGGTTTTTTCTTTTATGGCTTTCTAAGATTTTTTAATAAAATTAAATGTGTGGTATTTCATTGTTGAATTATTACAATTCATAAAACATTATCAAGACATGAGAACTCGTGTATTGGATTTAGAACCATTATATATGTTAGCTCTTTTGAGTGAATTGTCATGTTTAATTAGTGAAATGGGAGGACAACATAATCGAATGACTAGAAAAAAATAACTCTTTAAATTTATTTAATTCAATGTAATAACTACAAGGACTGAACTAAAAATGAAAGTGGAATATATGAGAACAAATATTTTTTAAGCACTTCGAAATCATTTCAATAAAATTATTTAATTTTTTTAATAACTTTGAAATCATTCCTAAAGATGATAAAAAGAATGAAACATCATAAAATGAAAGTGTGAAAAATTAAAATAGCAAGATCGCATGTGTTAAAATTTGCTAAATACACATTTATGTCTTAATGTTGTCTCAAATTTATGTTCACCTTTTCAATTAAGGATATTTTCAGTTCAATTCAATTTTTTATCTCATTTATGAAAGTAAAATTTATCTTGATATATTTTGGCCGAGTTTCAACTCTGAAAAAGTTTTATTAATTACATATATATCAATCATATCCTGACACTAAAACTGTTGTTTAAGAGCTAGATAGATAAGGTAGACTATGTATAAAAGACAATTATTTTACTCATGGGTGTAACGCAACTCTAATATGGTAATATTTGGTCATAAAAATTGAGATCTTTTTTCATTTTTGAATATGGGATGTGTCTTTTTTACTTTTCATTACATAGTTTGACATGTTTATGTTTCGATTATAACTACCTCTTGATATGATGATAATCTTTTTATAGGTTTTTGATACGCATGTAATTTCCGTGTGTATGTTTACGTTTTTAGTTAGTTTTGGTTGTTTAATATTTCGGAAATTACACACTTTTGGTGCAATAGTTATGTTTGTAATTTAGTTGTAATTCATTTAGATTAGGATCATTCTGAGCTTAAACAGGTCCAAGATCAGTCAAATGATCATTGGTGAAGGAAGGTGCAAGAGTACAAGACAAAAAGGAGGCAAAATCCTGATTTTTGACCTGTACCCGGTCGAGTATACCATATACTCGATCGGGTACCAACCGGACTTTCAATCAGATCAATCAGGAGACAAAAGGGTGTGCAGGGGAAGATTTGGCCACGATCAATTGTAATACCCGATCGGGTACACCTATATACCCGATCGGGTATACCTTTTATTTTCACTTCGAATTCGATCGAGTATGCCTCAAAACTATCCTTTTTACACATACCTGATCGGGTATACACCAGTACTCGATCGGGTACCCGAACTACACTCCCAAAAAGTCTATAAATACACCTCCTTCCCTTCACAATTGGATACCAATTCCTTTATACTCTTAACTCTTAAGCTCAGTTTAGAATAGCATTTCTTTATATTTCTTCTAGCATGTTTAGTCTCCAAATGTTTAGTCTCCCCGAGAACGTCGAAGATTCTCTGGAAATGGGGGCCCTTTGGGTAGTTCTTGAAGTTCCGGCAGAGGATGTGGTTGATGTTTGCTGGGTCACAGGTGAGGAACAAGTTGAGGTTAGTAAAGCCCCAAGGCCCTTTCACCTCAAATGTGCCGCCGTTGTGTTTTAGAATCTCCGCCACGTTGTCGTGGATGCGGCCCGCATTTTGTAATATCCCCGGCAGCATTCCGACCACCGGCCAGTTTGTCCGGTTCACATTATATTATACCTTTCTCCCTTTTCCCGCGCCAGCTTCTTCCATATAAACTTCCTCCCAACATAACCTAAACCCAATGCCACCGCCGCCGCTGTATTAATCGCCACCACCACCTGCATCATATATAAACTTATTCAATTCCCCCGCTCAAAACGACACTACCAACTTCTCCTTCTATATATCCCCATTTTACTTATTTTAGCCCGTACCTAGCTACTTATTCAGAACCAAGATGGATCGAAGTATTGATATGTGATCAACTAATGTTCTGCTCGTGTTTTATATACTCCCAAATTGTTTGCAAATAAAGATTTTTTGGTCAACCAATAATAAAAGTCAAACTTTCCTATTGATAATTAGTTCAATTTTTTATAATTAAAATTTACATATTTTAAAAAAAAAATTAAAATTTACATATTCATAAACTAAATTGAAATGTCTTCAAAGTTGTAAACTCCAAATTGGAATATAATTAAAAATTGTCATTCTAATTAAGAGAACAAAACAAATCTATTTGACCAAAAAAAGTCAAAGTTGCAACTTAATTGGGAAGGAGGTAGTAACTTTATTCATCCTACGCATTAATATTAGTATACCACATTATGGAATCATATCGTTATTACTCCGTAATAGATAAGTTTTTGCCTCCCTGGCCACTTTCTATCCCCTACTACCCTATCACTAACACTTATACTCAACTTTTAATTTTTAGTCCTTGACTATGATGCCACAACATTTTTACTCCTCGACTTCAAAGATTCCCACTTTAATCCCCTGAGTATTATCAATTTGAGGTTTTTAGTCATTTGACTATGATTTTGATATAATAAGCGGCGGACAAAAATGTCACTATTATAATAGTTGAACGATCAAAAATGTCACTTTTATGAAAGTCGAAGGATTAAATATAGAAATCTTCAAAGAAGAGTGCCGAAAGCGTCTCTAGCACAATAGTCAAGGACTAAAAGTGAAAAAAAAATCAAACTCGAGTACTAAAAGTGTCAGTGACATACTACGTAATACTAAGAAGACTAAAAGTGGGAAAAACTCGTTAATATGCGCAACACTCCACTTTTTTCACGTTTGGTATATATGATTTTGACCATTAATATATACAGAGTATTATTCTCTATTAGTAAGAAATTAAAAAAAATAGAATTTAAAATGATACAAATTTAACAATATGAGAATAGTGTAAAATATATTCAATATGTTGCACTTATTTAAAAATGGGAAAGTATGTACACGTAGTATATAGATATAGAGAACTTTACTCATCTCTGTTCGGACTAACCAGAATCGGCGTCATGCCGCCTCCATTTGAGGTGTATCTAGGTGGATTTTTTGGTCAAATTTGTGAGCATTTTCTTCATGATGAAGTGTAGATTATGTCAATAAAAATTCACCTTAAAATTCGATCGGAAAGTCAGTTAAATAAATCATTGAAAAACAATTGTGTGTTTTATACGCAGTATATATTTTGGCGCAGTTTTTTTTCAAAAAACAATTTACTTACTTCCCAATTGAGTTTTAAGGTGAATTTTTGTATACATAATTTAAACTTCACGAAGAATATGCTCACAAACTTTCATAAAAAAAATTCAGTCGGAAGCACCCCAAATAGAGGCGGACGAAAGGCGATTCCGATCAGTCCGGACTGATGAGGAAAGTACTCTATATATATTAGCTCTATCCCACAATAACATTCTTATTTTACCTTTTTTAGTTAAACTTTATTAACTTTAACTGTTAGTTATTTAAATTTCACATTACTTTTTCACCAAAATTAATTTCATATTCTTCATTGCAATATGTGTTACTACATATATTAAAATGTTAATTTATTACCAATTTATAGACATTTAACGTCGAATTTTAATCTACAAAACAGTAAAGGTCAAAGCGAAAATTTAGTTGTGGAACGGACAAGTATATTACTCCCTCCGTATCACATATATCTTCTCACTTCAAAAGTGGGTGAGATTAAGAATAGTGAAAGTGATATGAATTATTGAGGGTATGATGGGAAGATGGTGAAATAATGTGATGGAATGAAGGATAAATCCAAAAAGAGTAGGTGTAATAGTGTATTGTTTTTTAAATTATTGAGGGTATAATGGGAAGATTTAGAAATGAGAAATATAAATGTTACATCCAAAAAAGGAAAGTGGGAAGATATGAATGTTACGGAGGGAATACAATAATACAATGTTTAAGATTGTCAATTTGTCAATAATTCACATGAGAAAGGGTACAACTGGCATGGCCCATCAAGTACATTTGGGGACCCGATGTAGTACTCCCTCCTAATCTCTTTTTATTTAGTCAATCACTATTTTCCAATACAAAGATGTTAAACTTTGACTTATTATAAATTAATACACGTAGATGTTTATAATATGAAAATGATATGAAAATGTTGTTTATTAAAAATACTACCATAATGGTATAAATTTATTAAGTTTTACATAAATATATTATATTAGTTAAAATAATGGATCAAAGTTTATCATCTTTGAGTAGAAAAGTCAAAGATGGCTAAACAAAAAGTTATCATTATATGGAATCTCATAATGATAATACGGAGTAATAAATACTACGTATAATGATACAATATTAGATTTAGCAATACTCTTCTTTAAAGTAGAGTGAAGATTTTGAACACCCAACTTGTTCTGAAAAAAGTCGAAAACAATCTGCCCCAAGTGATTTGATAAACGTATCTATCTGCTACTTGAGGACTTATGGAGAAAAAATAAGGGTCAAATCGCTTTACTAGCAACCCTCTCTGGGACAAAATAACAATCTATCTTCACGTATTTAGCATGTTCATGAAAAAAGAAAATTTATGTAAATGTTACTAAAACATTCATAAATTCCTAATATGTGAGACTAGCAAGTTAAATATGACTTTATATGAGCAATAATTGAATCCGAGCAAGAAAAGGTAAGATAAAAAATACCATTAATTTAGGAATAAAAAGTTGTCCAGTGGAGTAATATTTTAGGAATCATGAATTCTTCGAGACTAGCAAGTTAAATATTCCAATAAATGTTTATTTATGTGTTTTTCATTATTGTCCAAATCTGATTTCTTCGATTTAAATGTTACTCCGTATGACACAATTCTTAACCGACATGTCACAATAATTCCGACAAGGCTATTGGGACTAACGTACTATGAAAGGATGACCACTCATGGTCCATGGAGGTTGCAAAGCACAAAAATGACGCATCATTGTTTTTCTTCAACAACTCCCATAGTTATTGTCGTATATCCTAGCTTCACGCAAGTGTTGAGATAAACTAAAAGACAAATAAACCAAAACATTTTGTTTTGGTACATCGGAAAATAAATCAAACAATTAGTTATTTAGTTGAATTGAATTTTGAGAAATCTTGATCATGAAATTTTTTAAATGAAGAAGCAATTTTGATGTTCGCGCAATATAATAAGGAAAAATTGAAAATAATAATCCAAACTATTGTTGGTTCGCTAACAAATCTCAACTATTGATTATTTTTGTATAATCCCAACTATATGGACCATCCGCCAATAATGGTCTATTACCGGATATTACCTGTTATAACATGTGAATTTTAAATAGAAATTAAGAGTTATGATTAAAAGTTGAGATTATTTATTGGGATTACCTGCTATATCTCTTCTCATCCACTTTAAAAACTATTGAAATTTATTTATAGTCCGTCACGCTGGACCATTATTGGCAGAAGGTCCCTAAAGTTGGGATTATTCTGGAATAATCGATAGTTGGGATTATTATGAGCAGACCGTCAATAGTTAAGATTATTACTATCAATTTTTTCTAATACAAATTGGGTTACTTAATTAATGAGTGAATTATCTAAACATGAGTAAAAATTACAAAAAGTCACAAATAAAACTACATTCTTTTAAATTCTTTAATAAGACTAATCTATCTTATGTGTTCGGACAAGAGTTTTTTCCCGAAATAATGTTAATTAAATAAATAATTCCCAAAATGCTGTTGGGTTAAAAATAATTCCCAAAATACTGCTGGGTTAACCGTGGTTAAGAAAAGCCGCCACTTGAAGTGGCGGCTCTTCTCTTACAGTACAAAAGCCGCCACTTCAAGTGGCGGCTCTTCACTTATAGTACAAAAGCCGCCACTTGAAGTGGCGGCTCTTCTCTTACAGCACATTTTGTACATGTATAAAACGCAGTATGTTTCAAGAATTTTTTAACTATCTTCCCAATTTAGTTTTGAGCTCAAACTTTGTATGAATAAACTAGACTTGATGAGGAACATGATCAAAAACATTTCATCAAAAAATTCCACTGGGAAGACCCTCTTATGGTGTTGTCTGCACGGGGGTTCCGGTCAGGACGTCGTGACAGGAACCCCCGTGCGGACAACACCATCAGAGGGTCTTCCTGGTGAAATTTTTCGAGAAATATTCGGTTCACCTGTGGCGTCCTTAGATAATATCATCATACTAAAATCCGAGATTCAATTAAGTTTTATCAGTGGCTCATTGATAGCTGACAACTTTTAGAACACGTTTACTTCACGGGTTACTAAACGGTGTGTTGAGTTTAATCCAACACGATATAGTAAATATATGTATAAATGTGTATGAACAACTCAGTTTTTACGTGGAAACCCGAAAGGGAGAAAACCACGGGACTTTTTAGGCTAATGTTCAAGCCCTCTCTTTCTTATTAGGACTCTCCTCACAATTACATTGTACAAGCTCCCATTAATGGAGTATTGAGCTAAGTCTAAAAGAATGAGGGAGGTGAAGCTAAAAAAGGATCCTTAAACATGGAGGGAAGCCTCATATTTATAGGGGAAAGGGGAAGGGTGCCCTCCACCCTAATGGGCCAACGGGTCAATGCCGGGCCTAATGGCCAAAGTGGGCCAGAATGGGCCGAAATGGACCTAGCTGCTCGGGCTCCGTACTGGATAATGTCTTGGGCTCCTGAACAGTAATAGGCAGGGATAATATATCCCAACACGGTGTTTATTAAAACTCGCATTAATAAGCGGCGCATAATTAAGCAGTGTTGTAATAAGAACATGTTTACTTCAAAAGATTTAAAACACCCCTTTAACATTAAAATGTCCAAAATAACTCTATACATATATAGACACATAAACATTCATGAACACAAGTACATAATATAATATGTGGATGTACCCTAACCCCTACCCCACCCTACCCTTCCGCCACAACCTTAACCCCTACCTCTTCCTTACCCCTACTCTAACCACGACCTTATCCTCTGCCCCTATTCCCCTCGTAACCCCTACCTGTTAGGGGTGGGGTCGGGATCGAGGTAGGGGCATGTGGTATGGGGTAAAGGGGTAGGGTAAGGGGGGGTTGGTTAGGGGTGGTAAGGGCTAGGGGGTTAAGGTAGGTGGGGGGATGGGGTCGAGGTAGGGGCAGGTGGATGGTGGGGTAAAAGAGTGGGGTCGGAGTAGGGAAGAGGTATGGGGTGGGGTGGAGGTGGGGTAAGTAGGGTAGGATGGGTAGGGGTCGGGTGGGATCGAGTTAGAGGAAGGTAGTAGGGGGTAAAGGGGTAGGGGGGTAAGTAAGGGGCTGGGGCAGAATGGGTTGGGGGTAGGTTGGGGGATGGGGTCAGGGTGGAGTAGTGATGGACCCGGGCCGGGCCGGTTCCGGTTCAGGCCTGGGCTCGGCCGAGCTTTTTTTGGGGAAGGGAGAACCGACCCAGGTAGGCAGCGGTTCCGGGCCGGTTCCGACATTTATTTATTGTTAGAAAATCATTATACTCATCGACAAAATCAACTCGGAAGCATCTCAAATTTCATAAAAATGTCCTATTCTTGTCACGACGTCCTGACCGGAACCCCCGTGCAGACAACACCACCAGAGGGTTTTCCCAGTGGAATTTTTTGATGAAATGTTTTTGAGCATGTTCCCATCAAGTCTAGTTTATTCATACAAAATTTCAGCTCAAAATTCAATCGGGAAGATAGTTAAAAAAATTCTTGAAACATACTGCGTTTTATATATGTACAAAATGTGCTGTAAGAGAAGAGCCGCCACTTCAAGTGGCGGCTTTTGTACTATAAGTGAAGAGCCGCCACTTGAAGTGGCGGCTTTTGTACTGTAAGAGAAGAGCCGCCACTTCAAGTGGCGGCTTTTCTTAACCACGGTTAACCCAGCAGTATTTTGGGAATTATTTTTAACCCAACAGTATTTTGGGAATTATTTATTTAATTAACATTATTTCCAGAAAAAACTCTTCGGACAAATATACTCCTACAGTTTTTTGGACTGCCACTGCCCGGCCAACCACCACTGCCGACTAGGGCCGGTCCTGGATGAATAGAGACCCGGTGCGACAAAAAAATGGACCTTTCTTTCCAACACTAAGAGAAATAAAACATAAATAGTAATGGTAATAGTAATAAATTATCATAAATTTCTATTAAGATTCGAGTTAATATGGGTTTAATGCACCAAACCCCCTATGATTTGAAAATTCGGCGCATTAGCCCCCTGTGATTTAAAAAATGCGTCAAACCCCCCTGTGTTTTAATTAATCATGCGCCAAATCCCTTATGTGAACAAATTCAATTGTCAAATAAAAGAAAAATGATTAACATTTTTGTATGATTCAGAGATTTTGACATATTTATTTGCATATTCAATCAAAATATTAGACAAAATGATTTTCAAATCGTTAAATTTATTCATAAAGGGGGTTTTGCGCATGATTAATTAAAACACAAGGGGGTTTGACGCATTTTTTAAATCACAGGGGGCTAATGCGCCGAATTTCCAAATCACAGGGGGGGTTGGTGCATTAAACCCCCCCCATAATAGCAAAAACAAATGTATTCATTAATAAAGTACATTTCATGAAAAAAGAGACATTCTTTGAACGTATTTAGATGCAAAGTCATCTACCTACTTTGTTAAACTTCATAAGGAATAATAGATTAGGAGACCTAAGGCCTAAACAATAAATAATCTACTGTATATTTCTACTATATTTGCAGCGTGTGGACAGCCGCTGCTGGACCGGCAGACAAGGGACTGCCGGAGCCCGGAGGTGCGGTGCTGCAGGGCCGAGAATCCGAGATGCATAAACGCCGTTTTGCTGCGATGAATGCGTAGAGGCCCTCGACGCAAGTACGCAACCTGCGTTCTTTCTTGAATCGGAGATCTGTTTTGATTTGTTATTTCATGAGGTTGTGGGCTTTTGGGTTTAATTTGGGCTTGGGCTGCTGCAAATACCTAATACTAATATTATTATTATTATTTTTTGGGGGGGGCTCGCAATTTAGAGACCCTGTGCAGTGGCACAGAATCTCCCTCCCTTAGGTCGGCCCTGCAGTGCCGACCATTGTCCAGTTGCCCATCTTGCCGCCGGCCAAACTTTTCAGATTTAAACCAACTTCTTTCGTGCGGGGAGACTTGCTTGAGCTCGGCCACCGATCACCCTGTCGGACTGCCCTGCCAGCAACAGATTGCCCCGGTTGCCCAAGGAAACAAGGGGGTAATTAATTAACTAGATTAGGGGTATTAAAGATAGAAAATTAATGCTTAATCCTATTTGTGAAAGGTTTAGGTTTTAGTTCTATTTGTGCAATTGTGTTTCCATCTAGTCCTATTTAGGATAACTATTACTCCTTCTGTCGCACTAAGATTGTCTTAGACAGTATTTGCTAGATCAACACAAATTACTCTTAATCTCTTACTTTATATATCAATTTTTTATGAAATTTGATTCTGGTTTTTGAGACTTTGTAAATCTTTTAATGTAGTTTTTGAATATGTAATTTTTTTCTTAAAAAAAATTGAGAGGGAACAGGGATCTGTTTCTTTTATAGTTGGTCAAGCATCGTAAATCGAATTGTCCCAATTTTAATGGAACGGAGGTAATATAATTTAATGATTCTTGAAGAGATAAAGGAATATGCAAATGAACCTAAGCATAGAATGAGAATTCATCCTTTAATTCATATTATACTTTCATGTAATGAAGATTGTTCCGATCTTTTAATTTGATGGGGTAACTCCCCGTTTGTAATTGTGAAACAAATTTTTTAAGTATTTATTTAAAATTGATCGAAAATAATAATATGTCAGAATATCGAGTTCAATCTCTAAATATGAATCATCTGATTCTTCACTTACAATTTGAAATAAATATAATTAAAGAATTCCACTTAAAATTAAGTCTTTAATTCTTCAAATATTTGAACATTACGTTTTTTTAGATCTTAAAATCTTCAAAGCTTCGTTTTTCATATCTTCAAATCTTCAAAGCATGGTTCTTTGAATCTTCGAATGTTCTTGAATGCAAAATTCAGTTTGAAGGGCCTCCGGTTTTCAAGTTGTTTGATCTTCAACAAAATGGTCGTTTTATAGCTTGATCTTATGTTTAAGGGCTTCCCGGGGCATATGACTTTGATATTCTATTGAATTTTTATTCAATCTTCATATGAATGTCCTCAAATCTTCAAAGATATGTTCTTCATATCTTCAAAGCCTTGTTCTTCAGATCGTCGAATCTTCAGCTTCGTTCTTCAGATCTTCGAACGTTCTTCAACTTTTGGACATATTTTATCAAGAATGGACCAAATCACAAAGGATTATTTGTATATTCTTCATAAAATTTGTGGCTTGATTTATTCCTCTTCTTTGGAATTAATCCTTTAGAGCCTCAGGGGAGTTCCTCAGAGCTTTTCTGCAGCGTTTATTCATGTGGAAGTTCTCTCTTTCATTCCCCTCAACTGAGACACCTATTTATAGGCGTGGAGGGGATGAAATATGCAAGGTTTTCACAAATTCGTCCATACCCCTTGGACCTCAATTAAAATGGGATTTGAGTTCTAATTGCTTGCATTTTAATAGCTAGAAAAATCAGCACTAGTGAGATGTATCTGAACAGCTTTTTTAACAATGTTCATGGTTATTTTCAATGCATATGGAAAAATTTATTGACATTTGTTCTCTTCTTAACAGGTTGGATCATGTCTCTTACTCATTGGGCCACTCACTATTTAATAATGGGCTCAAATAAAGAAATTAATAGAACTAGTCAATTCTTTTAAAAGTAATAATTAAATTAATTGGATATCTAGGGATGTCAAAAAAAACCACCCGCCCTGACCCGAGACATTTGGGGCGGGTCTAGCCCGCCCCGCGCTGTCTTGCAAATGGGGTGGGTCCGCCCCGCCTATACAATGGGGCGGGTACATGTATTAGTATTGACCCATGCCGCCCCGACCCGACGCGACCCGCTCAATATATAAGTATACATATTTTTTCTTAAATTATAATACAAATATACTTCAACATACATATGTGTGTGTACAATAATTCATAAATTCTTTGATCTTATAATATATATATATATATATATATATATTAGAATTAGATGAAAAACAGATTATCAATGTCTTCTTTATATATAGCATTTTAATACATATATTCAATTATTAATATAATCAAATAGATTAATTATTCAAGTGTGAGTAATTTTTCCTTAATTTTTGAAATTTTAGCGTATCATAAATTAGATTTAATATATTAATTTTTAATTATTATTTAGAGATAAACTTTATGTAGATACAATTGGTAACAACTTCCCACAAATAAAAATACATACTAGCTAATTAGGTTATGGCGGGGCGGAGCGGACTCGCCCCGCATGGAGCGGGTCATGGGTCAACAAGTTTGGACCCATGCAGGTCACGGGGCGGGGCGGACCCGCCCGCCAAGTCACAGGGCGGGTCTGGGTCTTGCAGTACCCGCCCCGACCCATTGCCATGCCTATGGATATCCATGAAATGACCCAAATCAATTTTAATCATTAAATTTTATTTTACAGGATCCAAATTACTATCTTCCTCTTGCTCTAGCCCAACAACCATCACGACTAGCCTAGTAGAATTGACTTTGGCCCAATAGCACTTTGAAGAGGCCCAATAAAACCAAGAATAGCCCGGTAGCATTAAAAGGAGCTCAATAATCACCACAATTGGCCCAATCATATTTATATGTTCACAGCAATTAACTAATTACTAGCCTTTAAGAGGGTGTATTGTATTAGGAATTAGTGGCAAAATATTAAAAGTTCATGTATTTTAAAAGTTTAGGTGTATTCAATGTGAACTTTTAAGAGTCTACAAAAGTCTATTTGTATTCAATGTAGACTTTTAAAAGTCTATAAAAGTATAGGCGTATTCAAATTTCCGTTCATTCTTATTGACTTCTAAAACCATGGTGTTGGGTATATTACCCCGGCCTACTACTGTTCAGAGGCCCAATACACCGCCCCGATACGGGGCCCAGTTAGCAAGGATCATTTAGGCCCAACCGGCCCATTTAGGCCCATTGGCCCATTAGCATAGCCCTAAAACCCCCCTCCCCTTCTATAAATAGGAGGCGAAGCCTCCTAATTAAAGGATCTCTCTTTTGGAGCTCCAGAAGCTCTTCTCTTTCATTACTGTATCTTCTCCCCCCATCCTCTTTATTGTTTTAGAAGAGCACCAAGCTCCATTAATGGGGTCCGAAAATATGTATTATGTAATTGAGTGATGGGAGGATATGAATAAGAAAGAGCGGGCTTGGACGTTAGCCTAAAAAGTCCCGTGGTTTTCTCCCTTTCCGGGTTTCCACGTAAAAATAGCTAGTTCATACACCCTTTATATATTTTATTTATGGTTATACCGAATCCATCGTCCTTAATATCCGAAGTTTATGTTGGGCTTCCGGATCTACGGGACAAAACCTCAACATTGGCGCCGTCTGTGGGAACAGATCAAAAAGATTCATGTGTTCTTGATTTTCTACAAATTTTTTGATACAAAAAAAAAACGATATGACCTTCAAAGATAACAAGCAAGGGGAAGGATTTTCGAAAAACTATGAATAAAGAGCTCCTGGTGAAGAATCCAGACCCAGTCAAGCAGCTGGCCATCAAGCAGCTGTTCCATGTCCTAAGATCCAACATGAACCAGTGAACTAGCCATGGAAGCCTTCCAGTGAAGGATGAAGATGCAAAAGGGGCCCACACGCCCACCAACTTGAGATAAGGAAAATATCTTTCCAAGGAAAAGCCTGACAACACAAGTGGGGAGCCTGACAAAAAACAAGAGGATGATTTGACAGTCATCATTATCCAAAACAAGCTTCACTTCCCGAATGCCGAACGGTATAAAGACATATTCATGAAGGAACATACGTGATGAACAGGGCCAAGCTATGACGACAACGTAAGGGAACAATCTCGACAGCAGCACCTCCTGCTCGAACAGCCTGGCTGCTCTGGCATTACCTAGCCTTGAGACATCACATCCCGAACGGGAAGCTCCTGAACGCCCAAAGCTAACAACCGCAAACCAGCAGCAAAACCCCAGGTGCTCTCAGCCACGGATGCCAGGGAGCCGCTATCCCTGTTTAAATGCCGCTCGGTCTTCAGGCAAACACCGTTAACCGAACGGGAATGTACACAACCAACATATACCGGCTGTGACCCTGTCCATCCATTTTTGGCAATCAAAGCAGAGGAAAAAATCAAATCTCTGGGAGGTTACCTGAACGGGAGTTTCCCGAACCCCATACCCAGGAGCACGTCACCTGCAACGCTGCTTCACTCTAATGCCGGCCGGTCTTCTTTCAGGCAGAGATAGCTAATCTCGTTCGTGAGACCACCGTCCACCGGCGACCGACAAATTTCCGTCCAGACGGGGATAGCAGATCCTATTCAAGCAGACCAGTAAGGATAACAGGGAGTGGCGGCCTAAATCTCCAAAATACCGCCGTTCGGAGCCCGGCTAGGGCGCCCCTCCACGGTTCCGTACCGTACAGTACCTCCCGCTCGGTATAATACCCAAGTCGGTCGTCACCCAACTCAGTTCCAACACCTGGCCGTACGGCATCTTACCGTACAGTACCACGCCGTCCGGGATCGCCAAGGTCCGGCTTCTCCTCGATCGAAGCTCCGGGTCTGATTTACTTGGGTCGGATAGCTGCGCTAAGGAAAGTTGCTGGCCAAAAGCAGGGCCCACCACACCAAATTAAGAAGTAGGCTTCAGCGACGCAAGTAGATGGGACCAGCACCGGACGGGAATTTCTTCTGGATTGGCAATAGCCCATGTCCACTTTATGCCAGCCTATCACAAAGGAGCTAAGTACTTTAACCCTTACTTTTGCTAATTAAAGGACTGCATATTAAAATGGTAGGAAGTAGGAACGATGGTCCTATTGTTAGTGACCTCAAAGTTACGGAGTATTTAGTAGGGATTAGAATTCCCGAATAGAATAAAGCCGTGTGAAGACCATTTCAATCAACATTTAATTAAATGTTTGATCTTAATGGGGGCGATTGGTTTACCCCGATCGGCCTTAATTAGCAGTCGGGGCATCTATGGATCCGCTCGTTGGGGGCGGTACATCCATGAAAATATTAAATGGAATGATGTAGTAATATTACTATTAACTACACATCGTCATTATTTGTTTAGTAGGAATTAAAATATCCCGAGTTAAATAATGACCGAGCGAAGCCCCAATGATTAAGTACACCGTCATTTTTAAATTAAATGATTGGTTGTAGTGGGGGCTATTGACTTATCCCGATCGGCCTTAATTAGCGGTCGGAGCATTTGTGGACCCGCTCAGTGAGGCCGGACATCCATGAAAAAATTGAATAGAATGATGTATTAATATTTCTGAGCGATTATCTGGTTGGGAGGGATTAAAATATCTCGAGTTGAATAATAAACTGGGCAAAACTCTCGTAAGGAATTCACCAACATTTTAAATTAAATGCTTAGTCTGAGTGGCCGAACGGTCCACTCCCGATCGGCCGAAACTTATTGACTAAAACGTCCCATAGGGCGTGGCCTAAGGACGTATTTTAATTTAAGGACCATTCATGGTCCCGATCGGCATTAAATGCCAGGTCGACAATTGTACCCAGTACGGGGCGAAATACGTACTTGAATACCCGGGAAAACACTAGGTGCTTCTGGTCGTGGACTCTGGCAGTTCGAGAAATAATTCTAGACCGAGGGTTATTATTAACGCTTCGGCCGGTAGCCATGAATAAAAAATAATACAAAAGAAGTGTGTTATACATGTGTGTAATTGTATATACTTGTATATGTTGTTCGGCCGTACGGCCGTATTACCATGCTTACTGTGCAGTGAGATTCTTGAGATATTCTCGAACGGGAGGTCATGATTCACGTAGATGTTCATGACGATTCAGCATGAAGCGCGTAGACGTTCATGCCCGACAACAAGAAAAGAATCACATTTATTCAAAGACGTTCATGATGCACAGAGATGTTCATGACGTTCGACGTGACGCGCAGAGACGCTCATGATTGGCAACAAAAAGAAAGAACATTTACATTTAGAGCCGTTCGGTCAGACCGGGCGGGAAGATCGGGAAATGCAAAAAAAAAAAAGAGGAAAGAAAAAAAAAAGGAATGAAAAAAAAAAAGGAAAAAAAAAAAAAAGGAGTGAGAGAGAGAGTGAGGTTACTAGTGTGTAGAAGGAATCATGGACAATTGAGAAAAGAAGAGACTACAAATGTATAGATGTCACAACACATGAAGGGAAGTTCTATGGACTATACGATACACGAGCTTTCAGATTACGCTACCTGACTGGCAATCCGGCCTTCGCCGTTCGGCACCTAGAGCAACATTATGGGCTGAGGGCGCCTGCAAGACCCTCGGATTTACAGATCGGCCTCCCAGCGCCGACTTTCCTCTCACCACAACCGACTCTTCTGGCTCGGCATGGTGATCATTTAGAAGACCGGCCTCATTTCTGCTCCTCACGGATGAGGACCGTTGATTATTTGTTTCTGATCGGCCCCCAGCGCCGACATCATTACATGGCCACCGACCCTTTGGTACGGTGCCCTTATCATATTTGAAGACCGGCCTTGTCCCCGCATCGTGCAGATAAGGACCGTTGCTAGTTCTGTTCCGATCAGCCCCCAGTGGCGACCTCATTACATGGCCACCGACCCTCTGGTACGGTGCCATTATCATATTTGAAGACCGGCCTCGTCCCCGCACTGCGCGGATGAGGACCGTTGCTTGACTTTCAGCATGACTACATTTTGTGGACCGCTGCCGCAGTTGCTGCCATTGTCCTTGAGCAGAGGGCGCTCGCAAGACCCTTGGATTATTCATGTTCCTCATATCATGATCAGCCCCACAGCACGACATTATTTGCTTAGGAGGCATCTTCACATTCCATAAAGTCTCACCTCGATCGATAGATACCACTTGTCTCGATCCATGGGGAGCCACCATCTCAGCACAAAAAAAAAAAAAAAAAAAAAAAGATGCAGGTTAACCAAGCCCGGACTCAGCTTGGGAGATGGTGTAAAAGATCTTGAGTAGGACGAACCGGGCGGCATCCGAAGTCATAGGGTGACCGAGCGGGGGATCGGGACTCTGGTCTTAAAATCTTGCCTTGGCCATACAGCTCGCCCGAACCTTATTGTGGTGGAACCCGAGCTGTAACCAAGAGGCGAGTCTCCATTTTGGCAGAGAATAAGGGGGAGACCCGAATTGGGAGCCTTATTTTCAATGGTCCAGGATGGACATCTCAACCTCATGATATGGATGACCCCGGACGGTAAAACCGACGGTATGCATCGGAATCATGGGCTTGGAAGATGGCAGACACTACACAAATTGTGAAACTGTCTTGCAGCAAGAGGTGATTGCCTTGCGGATAAGAAAGAACACGGATGATAACACGAACAAGTTACATCAGCCTTGGGCCTACAAGGCAGCAAGAGGTGATTGCCTTGCGGATCAGGAAGAACACGGATGATAACACGAACAAGTTACATCAGCCTTGGGCCTATAAGGCAGCAGGCAGCAAGAGGTGATACCTTGCGGATCAGGAAACTACGAACAAATGGCGGAAATAAGCCGAACAGCTTGCACCTTAACCCTGGTGCTGACTTGTAGCAGAAATGACCTATTATCCAGATGATCTGACCGCTTCTGTAGCTCTACGATCAGCCACCTCGGCACGACGTGATCATCGTTGTACATCAGACCGTTCTAGTGGGACGAACGGTCGAATGGAACTATTGTTTGGAACGACCAGGGGAGAACGACCCGTTCGGCGAAGGCGAGCGAACGGGGAATATAATTGGCTGGGAGGTGATGTGAATTCATGATGGCCCGCAGTGGTCTCGAGTCAAGTCCAGGTCTGTCTGAGTCAAGTCAAGTCCATGTCTGTCTGAGTCAAGTCCAGGTCTGTCTGAGTCAAGTCAAGTCCATGTCTGTCTGAGTCAAGTCCAGGTCTGTCTGAGTCGAGTCAAGTCCATGTCTGTCCGAGTCAGGCTCGTCCATCCTTAATCTAGGATGACGATCGCTTATTTTATGCAGCACGTTCGGGCTCCACAGCACCGTCGTGCCTGGCTTTCTGGCGGGCTCGTCCATCCTTGCTCTGGGATGGCAACCGTCGCTCTTATGCAGCACGTACGGGCTCCACAGCACCGTCGTGCCTGGCTTTCTGGCGGGCTCGTCCATCCTTGCTATAGGATGGCAACCGTCGCTCTTATACAGCACGTTCGGGCTCCACAGCACCGTCGTGCCTGGCTTTCTGGCGGGCTCGTCCATCCTTGCTCTGGGATGGCAACCGTCGCTCTTACGCAGCACGTACGGGCTCCACAGCACTGTCGTGCCTGGCTTTCTGGCGGGCTCGTCCATCCTTGCTCTGGGATGGCAACCGTCGCTCTTACGCAGCACGTACGGGCTCCACAGCACCGTCGTGCCTGGCTTTCTGGCAGGCTCGTCCATCCTTGCTATAGGATGGCAACCGTCGCTCTTATACAGCACGTACGGGCTCCACAGCACCGTCGTGCCTAGTTTTCTGACGGGCTCGTCTATCCTTGCTCTGGGATGGCGATCGTCGCTTTTATGCAGCACGAACGGCTGGCTCTACAGCGCCGTCGTGCCTTCTTCTCGGTCGGATCCACCCATGCCATTCAGGGTTGGGACTGCCGCTTTATACAGCACGAACGACTGGCTTTTCAGCGCCGTCGTGTCTAGTGCGGGATTGCACCTCACTTAGGGCTTATACATGCCTTGCGTCCGAGATTACTCCAAGACTCTGATTCAGGGAAGGCAGGGAAGGACGTGAGCAGGATTATACTTTCTCGAGTAGATTTGCAGGCTCACTACTCAAGAAACTGGGGGACTTGTGTTGGGTATATTACCCCGGCCTACTACTGTTCAGAGGCCCAATACACCGCCCCGATACGGGGCCCAGTTAGCAAGGATCATTTAGGCCCAACCGGCCCATTTAGGCCCATTGGCCCATTAGCATAGCCCTAAAACCCCCCTCCCCTTCTATAAATAGGAGGCGAAGCCTCCTAATTAAAGGATCTCTCTTTTGGAGCTCCAGAAGCTCTTCTCTTTCATTACTGTATCTTCTCCCCCCATCCTCTTTATTGTTTTAGAAGAGCACCAAGCTCCATTAATGGGGTCCGAAAATATGTATTATGTAATTGAGTGATGGGAGGATATGAATAAGAAAGAGCGGGCTTGGACGTTAGCCTAAAAAGTCCCGTGGTTTTCTCCCTTTCCGGGTTTCCACGTAAAAATAGCTAGTTCATACACCCTTTATATATTTTATTTATGGTTATACCGAATCCATCGTCCTTAATATCCGAAGTTTATGTTGGGCTTCCGGATCTACGGGACAAAACCTCAACATATGGATTTGTGTGGACTTTTCATTCATTCTTAGTACATTAATCTCTGCAATTGTCTATTCTCTTCACCAAAGAATTTCGTGGAATTTTTTGTTATCTTCCACTCATCACAAGTACGCATAGATGTGGTTGCAGATTTGACTAATCATTTACCCGAGATCACCAACCCGCCAACAAGTCCTGGATTAGTACCGGCCCGGTCGGGAGGTGGATACCAGGATGGTCTCAATATGCAAGATTTGAAGATTAAATATTGATTTTTTATCATTTTACGATAACTAAAGTTGAACCAGGAGATTCTACACTAATACTTATACGCAAGATAAACTTAAAAAAATAAAAAGTGATATTTTATATGTGTCTTACGAAGAAAAATTAGTTATCGGTTCAATTCTTGAAAGAAAATTAGGAACCATTTGAAGAACCTTTAATCCCATATTGATCGGTGCAATTGTGGTACGTCGTCAGTTAACCATTAAGATAAAAATATTTTAACTATAATTGTGTTTGATCGTTAAACCGCTAACACATAAAAATGTAATTTCAAATTAATAAATATATAATCGTAAATAAGTACAAAATTTAACAATCTAAAAATGAAAAGAAAACGATTATTAAGAAGATAAACTCGATTGCACTTATTCGTGTACCACATGTAGCAATGAGTGTAACACTTTTGTAACGATTTCTGCTCTTACTCATTGAGTTGTGTAATATAACAATTGATCATAAATAGTTCGAGATTGTTGAGCATTCTCGAAACTTTGAGTTTTCTTTTTAATAAAAATAAATTTGAATTCGTATGCTTCATTACTCTTGTACACCTCTAGCTGTGTTGCTAGATGAAATACATTTGTTTCATTTATTTATTAATTCTTTCTCGTTATATTTTTGGGACAACCAAAAAAGGGAAAGTTGGTAAAGTTTTAAGAGACGGAGGGAGCAGCATTTTCCCCAAAGTATGATCATATGTTTGATTTCCCTTAAGTAGGACTAAATATTATATTTCTACCCCTAATTTAATTAATTAATATAATTAATTGACTCTAGTTTCCTTGCATAACCAAATCCATTTTGGTGATGCGGATCAGTCTGATGACGACGACAGCCGGTAGTGGTATTCCGGATTTAAAAGTATATAGACTTTTCGAAAGTCTATAAACTTATCCATGGATGTAAAAGTCAAGAGAAATAATTTATAAAAAAAAATGGACTTAAAAGTCTATTGACTCTTTTTAATAGTCCATGAATTAAAAAAGTTGATGACAATCCATACACACTTCTAAGTTACATGGCATTTCATTGGTTATTAATGACGTGTTGAAGGCACCTACTATCATTCATTGAGTTCCATATTGAGACAATCTTACCATTTAGAATACTAGTATGTGTACCCGTGCACCGCACGGCAAAATATGAACTTAAAGATTTTATTAAAATTGTAAGAGAAACGAATTGTATGTGAATTCGTCAATCAGCGTTTAAAATAAAATTCACTTGACTGTGGATAAAGCTGTCAAAATGAGTCAAAATCCCTAGGCTAGCCCATTTCATCTCATTTCACGGGGGGTAAGAGTTGTCATTTGTTTACCCAATGAACTCACTGGTTTCGTGGGTCAACTTGCACGGGTTGCATGTTCAGTGAGTTGACCCATGCAGGTTGTGAGTAACCCAAAATATAAACATATGTTTTTTAATTGGGATAAGGGTCAGATAGGGCTTCGAACTTGGAAACAAATGTCAAATAAGGCCATATTTAGGATGCTATGTCCGGCTGATGCCATTTGGGGCGGTTCCCGGTGGAATTTTTTGATGAAATTTTTTGAGAATCTTATTCATTAAGTCTAGTTTACTCATATCAAATTTGAACTAAAAATTCAATCGGGAAGGCATTCAAATGAATTCTTGAAGATAACTACGCTTTTAATTGCACAGTTATTTTCAAGAATTCATTTGAATGCCTTCCCGATTGAAGTTTTAGTTCAAATTTGATATGAGTAAACTAGACTTAATGAATAAGATTCTCAAAAAAATTCATCAAAAAATTCCAATGGGAGCCGCCCCAAATGGCATCGGCCGGACAGAGCATCTCCTAAATATGGCCTTATTTGACATTTTTTTCAAGTTCGAGGCCTTATTTGACCCTTATCCCTTTTTAATTTTTTTGTCTTCAATGTTGATGGTTTACTACCAAAATTATTTTCAAGCATACTTATTATTTTACAACCCTTGTTGAACTATTATTTCCATATATACTAATTACTCAAATAAATTACCATAAAAAATGACTCTAGCATATTTTTTATGTTATTGTTGAAAAAAATATCTTAACAATTAATAGTCATTTTTAACAAATGTTTACTCAAAAGATGTAAATTGCATCTTTATTTTTGTCCAATGAGTGTTTTTGATAGATACTCCCTTCGTCTCGCTAAGATTCTCTTAGTTTTCCCTTTCGATCAGTCTCTCTAACACTGTCTCATACAAAATTAGGTAAGATTTATGTGGTTTTAAATCATTCTTACTTTATCAATTCATTGTCAACTAGTCAACTACATAAAATCATTATTCTTAATAATCGTGTCACCATCTCATGTCCCAATGTTAGTGGAACGGATGTAGTACAATGTAACAGTTATCAAATTTTAGTAGCTGTTGGGTTAAGGGCCCAAGCCGAGGCCCGGCCCGTTAACTCTAGTTGTCCAGACGCACATCCAGCGAAAGGACAACGCTGGCCCGCAGGCCCATGGTTATTAAGAGAGGGACGAACGTCCGGAGTTTGGGGGTTCAGGCCCAATGTCTCCTCGACGACGAACGTCTATACTATAACAATGAGCAGGACTACGGGCCGCCGGGGATGACGACGAACGTCTCCAGAGGAAGCCTGTAATCATCAGAGGAAATCCAGTCCAAGGCCAGAAGACGTACGGCCGGTATCTCTTGATGATCACTTGGAGCGATCCAACTCGCTTCCCGAGCGGACGAACGTCCCCACCGATTAGGCGGGAAGCCTAGATTCTGGCGGGAAGCGCATTTAATGCTGAAGATTTGGTAGTTGGGGCACCAGCGGTCCACAGGCTGCCACGTCAACACAGCCACCTGCCCATTGGCGGGTATAAATAGAAGCATTTATTTCATTGTAAAGGGTTGGCAACTTTCTATTCTTAGCATACTATCTTCAGCATCCTTACTTGTAGCATTTCTAGCTGCCTTGTAAGACGAACGGCCGACGTGCCTTCTTTAGCAAGTAGATTGTACTTAGGGGAGTTATTACGAAGTTAATAATACCTATTTACATTGCCTGCTATTTTCCTTGTTTCCTGATCCATCCGATAAGTTGTTGGGCTAGACATTCATACACCTCCTCCATTCGAAATCTTTGGGCTTACGTGTTGGGTCCGAGGGTTGAAGGAATAAACCTCAACACTGGCGCCGTCTGTGGGAAACTGAGCAAAAAGTTTCCAGAAACTCTCCCAAGCAGCTACTAAATCTACCCACGGCAAACACGATGTCAGGAAGCAATGACCAGCGTGATCTCTCCGAACGTCTGGAGTCAAGCCGCCGGAACCGCGGCCAGAATTCGGAACGGTCCGCAACAATATGGACCTCCGGGGGAAACGGGGGTATCACTGACCTCATTCCCCTTGAGGCTAGGCAGGATCCCCGCCTCATGCGGGAACTCGCTGACACCATGCGCCGTCTGGCAGACGAACGGGAAGCCCGAGAGCAGGTGTACTCGGCGAGCACCCAGCGAACACCCCTCTCTCCCATTCGCCGCATGCAGTCGTACGATGATACGACGGGATCCAGCGACCACCGGCCCTCAGTCCATGAGCGGCTAGGCGGAGGTTCAGGCTCCCGTGAAACGGGAGGGCGGACCAGGATCAGCATCGCTGCATCTAGAACTCGCACGCCATCGATTCCCCGCCAAGTCCCGCGGGGAGACGAAACCCCAAGGTTTAACACCGTCGGACGACGTTTCCAACGGCGAGGCGCGCAGATCTTTAGGCGGCCGCACGAAGTTGTGGCCGCTCAGCAGAACGCCGTCCCCGAAGCCGCGCCCCCTGTGTCCCCCGGAAGGGCCGCACAGGAGGCAAGGATGGAAGCGATGGAACGGCAGATAGCCGAGATGAACAGACGGGCGGACGTTGGCTCGGCCACACCCTCTTTCTCTCTCACATCACCCTTCACTCCACGGGTGATGAGCGTCGAGATTCCCCGGGACTGCAGGCCCCCGGGCAATTTGGTGTACAATGGGGCTGGTGATCCCAAGGCCCATCTGATAAGCTACCAAGGGAACCTGTCCATGCTGGGAGCGTCAGACGAGGCCATCTGCAGATTGTTCTTCAGCACCCTCAGGGGGCCGGCGCAAGAATGGTTCGGCCAGTTGAGGCCAGGCACCATCGACTCATATGAACAGCTCTCCCAGCAGTTCATGGCGCAGTTTGCTGCCAGTACCACCCCCAGGAAGGACGTCACGGCTCTCGCCCACATCAAGCAAGGGCGGGACGAACCGCTGGCTAGGTTCCTGGTAAGGTGGAGGGACGAGGTCCTGCAGGTCGACGATCTGGACGAACGTCTGGCCACTAACATGTTCACCAGTGCGCTGGCCACAGGGGATCTATACCGGGACCTAAGGAGGAATCCCGGCACCAGCTACACCGAGGTTCTGGCTCGGGCCCAGAAGTATGCCTCCATTGAGGAGGAGATCAGGCAGCGGGACGGAGTTCCCACGGCCCACCCGCGGAAGATGGCGGACAGACTTGGACCCGGACCGGGGCCCGGGCCCTCCCCTCCAAACAAAAAGAAGAGGACGGACGGGGCGATGGTCCCCTGGAAGGCTCCGTCCGGGGGTATTCAAGCACGGCCGGACGACCGCTATGTCCCATTGGCCTATCCGGTGAGCCAAATCTTTGAGGCCATCAAGGACAAGGGCCTCCTAACGGAACCCCAGGATATGAAGAAGTATATGGGGCTTGACCAATCGGCCTACTGTGAATACCATCAGAGGGCCGGCCACCTGACGGATAATTGCAGCCAACTAAAGAAAGCAATCGACGAGCTGATCCGTCAGGGGTACTTGGGCGAGTTCACTCAGCTGCTGAACAAAAACAGCCAGCAAAGGCCGAACCCAAGGCCCCGAACATGGCGCCGCGACGACCGGCGCGAGGCAGAGCCCCAGGATGTGGATTACCGAAGTGCGGATAAACGTCCGGAGGGGTCCCTTGGCCCGAAGGGCAAAAAGAAGAAGCTGGAGATCAAAGTGATCTTCGGGGGCGCTGAGACGGGGGATACACCCGCCGAGCGGAAGAAATTTGAAAGATCACTCTATGTGGGTTCCGTATCAGCACCCCCCACCAAGCGCAACAGGATCGAGGCAATCACCTTCGGCCCCGCCGATCTGCCGATGTCACCGGCACCGCACAGAGACGAGCTGGTGATCAGCATGGACGTGAACGATGCCATCGTCCGCCGCGTCCTTGTGGACACCGGGAGCAGTGTGAACGTCCTCTACTGGGAGGCTTTCGAGGGAATGAAGCTCAGGAAGGACATGCTGCACCCTCTGCGCACCCCGCTGTCCGGCTTCACCGGGGATTGCATTGACGCTGAGGGCACCATCAACTTGCCGGTAGAGATCGGCGACGGCCCTCACACCGCCCGGATCGGGATGACGTTCGTCGTGGTCCGCCTGAAGTGCGCCCACAACGCCATTTTGGGCCGACCCGGCCTGGAAGACTTGGGGGCCATATGCTCCGTACGGCACTCATGCATCAAATTCCCCACCGACACTGGAGTGGGGGTGGCACGTACGGACCCACATATGGCCAGGGCCTGCTACACGAAGGCCATGGAGAAGCTCAACGAGCGGGAGGCTCGGGTCAACAGCATCTCCGAGAAGGCCAAACAGGCCGACTTGGACGCTCATCTGGAACCAGCGACTCTGCTGGAGGAAATCGGGCTCGACGACCCGGCGGACAGGAAGGTGTCCATCGGTGCAGATCTAGAGCCAGAGATCAGGGCGGGGGTCATAGCTGTCCTCCGAAGGTTCAGGGTCTTATTCGCCAGAGGGCCGGAGGACATGCCAGGCATCGACCCCAACCTCATATGCCATAGACTCGCCGTGCGGCCGGACGCCAAGCCTGTACAGCAAAAGAAAAGGTATATGGCGGCCGACCGACGCGACTTCATCAGGAAGGAGACGGCAACCCTCCTCAGCATTAAACACATCCGACCGGTCATCCACGTGGAGTGGCTGGCCAACGTGGTACTAGCCCCGAAGGGCGACACTTGGCGGATGTGCGTCGATTACTCGGACCTAAACAAAGCTTGTCCGATGGATCCTTACCCTGTTCTGAGGATCGACTTGCTGGTGGATGAGACGGCAGGATGCGAACTGCTCAGCTTCATGGACGCATTCAGGGGCTACCATCAGGTGTTCATGCACCCCGATGATGCCGAAAAAACGGCGTTCGTTACGGCGGACGGCGTGTACTGCTACATCGTCATGCCGTTCGGCCTGCGGAACGCCATGGCTACTTTTCAGAGGATGATTGGGATGTTGTTCAAAGACGTACTTGGAAAGACAATGGAAGCTTACGTGGATGACATCCTGATCAAAAGCAAGAAAAAGGAGGACCATGTCCAGGACATGGAGAGGGTCTTCAGCATCATGGAGAGGGCCAGCATGAGGCTCAATCCGAAGAAGTGTGCCTTCGCCGTCAGGGGCGGCAAGTTCCTCGGCTACATGATGAGCGAGCGGGGGATCGAGCCTAACCCGGAGAAGGTGAAGGCAATTATGGACATGGAGGCCCCAAAGAACCTAAAAGACGTGCAGCGGCTCACCGGACGTCTGGCAGCCCTGAGCAGGTTCTTATCCAAACTGGCTGATAAGGCGATTCCCTTTTTCCAGATCATGAAGAAGGCCAATCCCTTTCAATGGACCCCGGAGTGCCAGGCTGCTTTCGAAGATTTCAAAGCATATCTCTCCTCTCCGCTCGTCCTCACCAAAGCAGATCCCGGGGAGAGGTTGTACATGTATTTGGCAGTAGCCGATCTGGCCGTGAGTGCCGTGCTGCTGAAGGAGTCTGAAGGCGTTCAGCGGCCAATATACTTCGTAAGTAAAGCGCTGAACGGCCCCGAGACGAGATACACACTGATGGAGAAGACGGTCCTCGCCCTGATTGCATCCATCAAGCGTCTGGCGCCGTATTTCCAAGCACACCCGGTGACCGTCTACACAACGCAACCCCTCGCCACAGTCCTCAGAAATCCAATGGCAAGCGGGAGGATAACCAAGTGGTCCTTGATGATCGGCCAGTATGACGTGGACTTCAAGCCAAGGCCGACGATCAAGGGACAGGCACTGGCGGACTTCATTGCAGAATGCACCGCGCGCACCGAGGACGAATCCCATGACAGCAACGACTTCGACAATTGGTGGGAGATGTACACCGATGGGGCCTCGAGTGCGCGGGGCTGTGGCGGAGGAGCGGTGATCACTTCCCCCGAGGGTTTCAAAGCCTACTACTCTATGAAATTCGAGTTCAAGGTCACCAACAACGAGGCTGAATACGAGGCGCTTATCGCAGGACTGAAATGCGCGAAAGCCCTCGGAGCGGCTCGTCTGAAGGTGAGAATGGACAGCCAGCTGGTGGTAACCCAGATGAACGGCACGGCAGAAACCAGGGAAGAGAGAATGAAGGTCTACAAAGAGCTGGCGGAGGAACAGACCGCACAATTTGAGCAGGTGGTGCTTGAGCAGGTATCGCGGGTGGAGAATGCAGAGGCGGACATACTGTCGAAATTAAGCAATCCCCCAACCGATGATCCGGCATCAAGCATCCCCCGACACATCAGAGGCTTCGTTAGGCAGGAGGTGTTCCCAGTACCGGCAACGGACGTCATCCAGGTGGAGGTTATCTCCGTTGCCGAACCTAACTGGGCAAAGGAGATAGCAGATTATCTCAGAGATGGAACACTCCCTGAGCCCGAAGGTGATGGCAGTACAGGAAGAGCCGCATGGATAAAGAGGCGTGCCCCTAACTTTGAACTTATTGACGGGCAGCTCTACAAGAAGACGTTCGGCGGACCCTACCTCAGATGCCTCCCGCCGAGCCTGGCAGCGGCGGTGATCGAAGAGATACATGAAGGGATCTGTTCCAGCCACCAAGGCCCCCGAACCCTAGCCAGGAAAATCATCCTGCAGGGCTATTACTGGCCGACCATACAGCAAGATTGCTTCAACCACACTCGAAAATGCGCAGTATGCCAGCAGTATGCACCTGTCCCCGGACGCCCGGCAAGTTTCTACACCCCGATGACCATCGCGCTACCCTTTGCTAGGTGGGGAGTAGACCTGCTGGGTCCTCTGCCAACGGCCGCTGGTGGAAGGAAGTTCGTCATCGTGGCGGTCGATTATTTCACGAAGTGGGTCGAGGCCGAACCATTGGCCTCCATCACTGAGTTCCAGTGCCAGAAGTTCGTCTGGCAGAGCATCATTTGCCGTTTCGGGATCCCAGAGCAGATCATCACCGACAACGGCCGGCAGTTCGTCGGCAGAGGGTTTGAGGCATACTTGGCGAAGTGGGGCATCAGGCACTCTAAGGCCTCGGTGGCCTACCCGCAGGCCAACGGCCAAGTGGAGAACATGAACCGGACCATCATGGATGGGATCAAGAAGAAGCTGGAAGACTACGCCTCCACCTGGCCGGAACAGCTAAATTATGTCTTGTGGACATACAGGACAACGCCCAGAACGGCGACCGGGGAAACCCCCTTCGCTTTAGCTTATGGTTTCCAAGCTAAGGTACCGACGGAGGTATTGGTACCTACACACCGCACCAAGCACTTCCAGCCGGAGGACAACGAAACCGACCTACGAGCGGAGCTCCATTTCATTGGGGAACGGAGGGACCTAGCGGCTCGTCGCATGGAAGAATATCACAGGGCCACCCAGAGATACTTCAACAAGGCCGTGAAATTCCGCGAAATAGAGGCCGGGGACCTCGTACTCAGGAAAAGAGAGAAGAGTAAGCCGCTCGAAGGCGGCAAAATGGCGAAAAACTGGGAAGGACCGTACCGGGTCATCAGAAGATACAACCAGGGGACGTTCCTCCTCCATACCCTGGAGGGGAACCATGCCGGGATGTGGAACGTAGAACACCTGAAGAAGTTCTACCAATAGTTAGAGGATAATGTTCCTGTTTTTATTCCCACTCCCGTGTAATGTGACCGGACGTCGTCAATAATAAGGCCCCTGTTTTCCGAACTTCTGTCCTTGCCAACGACCATTAAAGAGGGGAATCTCGATGCAGATAAACCTGTTCCTCCTTGTGATGTCTGCGGATACCGAACGTCTCCTCGAAGTAGGGACGCCGGTAGGACCAAGGACCAAGGACGGACGAAGCACCAGGGAATCTCGATGCAGATAAACCTGTTCCTCCTTGTGATGTCTACGGGTACCGAACGTCTCCTCGAAGTAGGGACGCCGGTAGGACCAAGGACCAAGGACGAACGAAGCACCAGGGAATCTCGATGCAGATAAACCTGTTCCTCATTGTGATGTCCGCGGATACCGAACGTCTCTTCGATGTAAGAACGTCGGTAGGACCAAGGACCAATGACGGACGAAGACTATGATTGCCTCCCTCAAAAAAAAAAAAAAAAAAAAAGATGGGGAGAAGAGGAGAGTAGCTCCTATGCGGAAGGGAATCTTGCCCGGGCATGCCAGATCTTCTCCCACCGCCGAAGGCGAACGCCTCTCGATGTAGAGGTTAGTAGAGACGCGGAGGGGGCTAGACGAACCAAGGGAGCCTGCCAAGATAAACCTGTTTATCCCACAAATGACCATGGATCGATGGACGTGGGATAACAAAGTCGGGAACCCGTGAGGGTAAACCTGTTCGTCCCTGCGAGTTCCTTGGGTACCGAACGTCCTCTTCGAAGCAAGAGACGCCGGTAAGACTAAAAGGACCACGGACGAACGAAAAAAGGGGGAATCTCGATGTAGATATACCTGTTCTTCCTTGCGATGTCTACGGATACCGAACGTCTCCCCGAAGCAGGGACGCCGGTAGGACCAAGGACCAAGGACGAACGAAAAAAAAGGGGGGAATCTCGATGTAGATATACCTGTTCTTCCTTGCGATGTCTACGGATACCGAACGTCTCCTCGAAGCAGGGACGCCGGTAGGACCAAGGACCAAGGACGGACGAACACTAAAAGACTCCAAAAAAAAAAAAAAAAAAAAAAAAAAAAAAAAGATGCCAGAAGAGCATGGAGCAAAGAATGATTTTTATTCCTCGGCACTATTGGCCGGAAAATTACAATGTATGAGGGTACAATACAGATAATGAACGGAGAATCACTGCCGATCGACGTCCGGAGCTGGAGCTTTGGAAGGGGTCTGCTTGGATTTTTCACAGGCTTCGGCTTCCTCTTGCTCCTTCAGCAGCTCAAGGGCCCCTGCATGGGCATCGGCCATCAGAACATCGAAGCCAGCCGCCTCCGGATCGAAGGGAGCCCCGAAGTGACGCTCGAACGTCGGGAGATTCTCCGCTACGAGCCCAACCATGCCCTTGCGATAGGTATCATCGGCAAGATCATCAAGGAAACGCCGTCCGGTGGGGGTGGCCTGGAGCAATTTGACTCCATCCTGATAGGCGTCCGGGCAGGTGGCTAGAAATTCTCCGACGAGCCTCGGGAGAAACTTCATGGCCATGGTGTGGATGGCACCAGTGTAAGCTTTGGATTTCTGGAAGGCAATGGAACCAGACTCCTTGATTTTGGCAACATCGGCCTCATAAATAGGGACATGGTTGTCCACGCCCGTCTGGCGAAGCTCCACCTTGGCCTGCTCTACGGCCCACATCCGGCTGCGGAGGTCCACGAGCTCGGCCTCCTGCTTCCTGAGGAGCTCCTTTTGAGAGGCATTCTCCTGGACGAGCTTATCGTAGGCATCGGCTTTCTCTTGAAGAGTGCCAGCCCTGCCTTTTGCACTCCTCAGAAGGGCATCGCATTCGGCCCGCACCCTGGCCATTTCCCTGCCTTGGTGCTCGAAGGCCATCCGGGCCCTGTGGAAGTAGAGCCCGGCCTTGTCCAAAGTACTCTGACCACACTCCAGAAGGTCTTCGGGTGCCTCCCGAGCAGCGAAATCCTGGGGGACCTTGAGATTCAGGCCGCACCATATGGAGGATGCTGTTTGACCAAAGAGCATCATGGATTCCTTGCGCGGGCCAACCCCGGAAAATTCAATCAAGCCAAGGGAGGACCCATTGGTTTCCGGGGGCGAAGGAGGACGAGCATCGTCAGAATCCTTGGCAATCTGGGTATCACCATCCCGGAGACGACGGACGTCAGAAGTTCGTGGGGGAGAAGGACGGGACTTGTTCCGAGAGGCGGGCTTCCGCTTAAGGGGGCTCCCGGGCTCACCATCAGAGTCGTCGGCTACTATGATGGCCTTGGAGGCAGTACCCTCGACGCGCAGCCTCTTGGAGGCGCCGGCTCCCAAATCATCCTCAGCCCGTGCCCTGGTCACCCGGGTTTCGACCTTAGGGACGAGCGGCTTCCCGGGCTTGTCATGCCCCCTGCGCTCACGGCCGGCGGCTGTCGAAGCAGTGTGGACTCGGCCCATGATAGGCGCGGATGGGAAAATTCCTGCACAAAGGGAACCAAGACGTTCAGAGCCATAACAGTGGAGAGAGGTTAAAACAATACAAGTACAAACGGATGCACCTAACCCAGCCCGAGCTTTAAAAGGCTCGGCCACCAGCAACCGGAGGTTCTGGATGCCAAGTTCGGCTATGCGCTTGGCACATCCGAGCTCCTCGTCCGTCATGGGCGGCGAGACCGTCTTCACCGGGTAAGCATTCCACCGGTCAGAGAATGGCATCGGTGAGCCTACTCCGGCCAGGAAGAAGCGCTCTTCCCAACCATCCGGATTCCCAGCATTGTTCGAGAATAGGACCATGGACGGACGGGCGATCAGGGTCAGATACCCCGTGCGTCCGAATGGGGACAGCCGGAAGAAATGGTGCAGCAGGTCCACGGTGGGGGTCACACCGACGCTGTGGCATCTAATGATGAAGCCAGCGATTATCCGATAGGCGGCAGGAACGAACTGCGCAGGCACTATCTCGAGGGCCCTGAAGAGCTCTAAGTGGAAGCTATGCAAGGGAAAGTTCAGCCCGACTATCACCGAATCCAAGTGGACCACCACATAGCCGGGCAAATGGCGCATGGGGTTGCGCAGACGCCGATCGTCGTAGGTCCTTGGAGGATAGAACCATTGGCTGATCAGACGCCTGTCAGCATTCGTCAGGCGTTGAACTTGACGCCGGACGTACGAGAAGCTGAGGCTATAACGGGAAGGCCAGGGCGGCATACCCCGCTCATAGTATTCTAAATCATCGCCAGAGGTACAACCATCGTCGAAACGGGTATCAGAAGACATGGCAACGAACGGTACCTTGGAAATCCGAAGAAGGAATTCTAGAGAGAGGAAGCAATTGTGCAGCGTAAGGAGAAGTATGAATGAATCACAAGGGTCCAGGGTACTTATAGGCAGTACCGCGGGAACACACCAACCAAAGTGGGACACGTGGCGCCTGGGTACCGGTACCTACCACGGCATTTAAGGCGTCTCGATTTAGTCGCCGCATAACCGCAACGAAGATATCCGGTTGATGCCACGAACGTCCCTCCAGGGGGGGCTTACCGGCTCAGAAGGGTATGGAGACGGCCGGAGACCACGACCATCGACTGCCCCTAATAATCGGCGGTTAGTGAGGGGGCGTATGCGTCAAAGGGCTACGTACGTTCTTACATGCTTCATGCTATTAGGACATGTGGGGCAGACGAACATTCCCATACGTAGCTTGAATGATCATGTCACGCGACGACAGACGAACGTCGTTGCCAAACGCTGATTCTGGGAAGTACGTTTATGTGTACACACTAAAGAAGCGTACATCAATAAACAGCAACCGACGAACGTCGCCCCGTTGTCTGAATACCTTGTGGACGATAAGCCGGCATCAGACTTTAGCGTCGACTCCCGAAGACGAGCTTTAGCAGTACCTCCGCACACTTGAAAGTACGTACGGAGATTTGGCAGGGGAACGTCCTCGTGGACCCTAACCTTGCCACAAGGCATGTCGAGGCACCAAAGGAGTTTCCATACGACGGACGATGGAGGACACAAAAATGATGGGGTAAAAATCAGGTCCTTAGGGGACGCCGCTTTCCCACGGCCCATGCCAGTTGAACATGCAGGACAGACGGACACCCTTGCTCGAAGCTTGAGCATTCACGCCACACAACAGTGGATGAACGTCTTTAGCAAGCATTGAGTCAATCCCCGACGTGCGTATGATCAAAGTGTGCTGCTTGGTCAACCCCCGACGAACGTCGTCTTGCCATCAGAATGCTGTGGCAGAAGGGACAGCCAGCATCGACGCCGAGTGTCGCCATCCGAAGACGGACCTTAACACTGGCGCCGCGCACTAAATGTGTACGAGGTTTTGGCAAAAAGACGCCCCTGCCCCCAAACCGATTGGGGAACAGAGATGGACGTCCACGCAGACTATGCTACGGAGAATATCGAAACACAAGGGGAGTTTCCATACAACAAAAGACAAAAGGAAGGGAAATAACAAGTAGAAGTCATGAGCGTAGAGGTGATTTTGGGCAAAAAGAAGCATGTATATTCTTCGGCTCTAACGGCCGGGCATTACAAACGCAAAAGGAAAATAGTACAAACTACATTTACACCATACGAGGGGACTCAGGCCGGCTGCCTCCCGGAACCTGCTCCTCCTCTTCAGCTTCGGGCTCCGGGGTCGGGGGTTCGGGGATCTCCCCTCTGGCCTTGGCCTCCTCCCTGCGCTGATCTCTCGCCAGCTTCCCTAGAGCCTGGAGCAGCAGATCGTCATCTGTATGCGCAGCCAGCTCGAAGTCGGCCCCCTGCAACCTCGAAAAGATGGGAAGGGTGGCCTTAACCCCTTCATTATAGCCGGCAGAAAAGGTGCTGTCGCCGACCTCGTACAGGAACTTGCGGGACAGAGGAGAGCCCTCAAGTAGCCGGACACCGCGGGCCAGACGCTGGCGGGGCGGTATCTTCTCCAAAGCTGCGGCGAACAGGTCGGCGAAGACCCCGGCGCAGTAGTCTTTGGCAGAGTCCATGAACTCCCCAGTGTTCCGATAGCCGGAGGTATCAACCAGCCACTCCGGACTGGCGTCCTTTGCGACAGGATGCACCGGGACAAGCTTGAAGCCGGCTTTCTCAAGGCCGACCAGCTGCTGGCGGGATTCTGCTCGCAGAGCGGCGATCTCCTCCACCTTGGCCGCAGCCTCCGCTTCAGCTCGACGAGCGGCCTCCCGGGCCGTGGCAACGGCCGCATCAGCCTTGGCCTTGACCTCCTTCAGGTCAGCCTCCCTGGCAGCTTCAGCTTGAAGTACAAGAAGCCCAGACTGGATGACAGAAGGAAAAAATGGTTAGAGGATGAACGGCAAGGGAAAGATGTGCTCAGATCTGGTAAAGGATGGATACCTGAAGAGCGGCGGCCAGGGCAGCACTGGTCGCCTCAGACGACGAACGGCGGGGCAACTCAAGACCGGCCTTGAGGGCCATCTCCCTCCAGAGGTCTTCCGCCGGCCGGCTTAATGGCAGAGAGCCGGCGTCTTCGAGCAGGGGTCCGGCGGAGGCTGCCTCACGGCCCCTTTTCTGCTTCTTCTCAGGGGCTTTCTCCGTCCCCTTTTGAGGAGCCGCCTTCGACGGGACGACCGGCGGGAGGAGGGCAGCTTCCAGTGTCACGCCCCAGACCGCAATCCAAGCGCGTGTACAACCGCCGTATAATTAAGTGACGTCACCCGCGAGTCAACCCCACTTAATTACACAAGGCGTTCGAGAAAACAATCCATCCATACTCAGTAGTAAACATACATAACAACATCACATTTAAACCAATGAATAACGGAAATATTCAACGGTAAGTCATAAGCCACAACCGGCCAACAACATGGGCATGCAAGCCCCAAAAATAGTTTATAGTAGAACAAATATCCATGAGCAAGTGTTTGGTAGTTTGAAAGAAAATAAGGAAGCACGAACCACGTCTTCCCGATATGATATCACCCGTGAGAAGGTGCAAGTAGCAAGCCCTAGCTTCAACCTGAAAATGGTGGGGCCCCCCGAAGGGGTCAGTACAAGTACCGAGCGAGTAGCAGGCTAAATATAGAATAACTAGCGTTTCAAGTATAAGACCCAAACATAGGGTGATACATATACGTATAGTCCTTCCCCCCAAGTTTGAAATACATATTAGTATACATACACTTGGAAATACTCGACCCGTAGGTCATTGTTTATTTGGGAAAATAATAGTAGCCAATATCCTTGACTTAAATCCCAACCCACCCATGTACCTATGAGTGTATAGAACTCCTCCTTGTTCAAATAAATTATCATAAGGACACCGCCCGGTCCTAGATCATTAAATGTAATCTATGAGTTTTGAGGATACACGCCCGATCCTTGGGTACTCCACCCTATAATTGAGTTTTGAGGATAACCGCCCGATCCTTGGGTACTCCACCCTATATAACCGAGTTTTGAGGATAACCGCCCGATCCTTGGGTACTCCACCCTATAATTGAGTTTTGAGGATAACCGCCCGATCCTTGGGTACTCCACCCTATATAACCGAGTTTTGAGGATAACCGCCCGATCCTTGGGTACTCCACCCTATATAACCGAGTTTTGAGGATAACCGCCCGATCCTTGGGTACTCCACCCTATATAACCGAGTTTTGAGGATAACCGCCCGATCCTTGGGTACTCCACCCGACCTATGACTTACCACATATCACACTAGATAGGGTCTATATCATATTTAGTCATCCATAACTAATTCAATACATAAAACTTATGTATCACATTCCATGCAAAGCCATGCAATTATATAAACGTATAATTAATTAATACCAATCGATATTAATTAATCCATTATCCATCGATCAACGTTGTTGTTGACCGCCATCTCAAGTCTTACACTTATTAACTAAATCATCACATAATTAAGTTAATAAAATCCATTTGTGCTTCTTTTACACTTAAAGCAAATATGCATTATATAATTTCTCATATCATATTTCATGCATAAACAATTACTTCTTTTCATATGCACTTAACTATGTTGACTAATCACATGTTTAAAATATCTTTTAAACATCATTATGAACACATATTACATTTATTTAGGTAATCTCATAATTAACCCAAAAGTTATAAGATATTAAGCCGTCCACTCACCTTGAACTAGCGTTATGAGGTTCTACCCTTCTTGGTTGAACTCCGGTGAAACTCCGGCGACTTGGTCAACTCCGGCGACAACTCCGGCGACTTTTTCCAACTTTGTGAAATCACTTGAAATACCCTTTACAAGTTCCTAACAAGGTTTTATAATCATAAAACCCATATTAATACAAATAACCTCAAAAAGGTTATTTTCCGGTGAACCGGTCGTTTTGGCTTCTAAGTCCGTTCTTGGACTTAGAACCATCTTCCACCCCATAAATCCATACTTATAACATATTGAACCATACTAAAGGTTCTTCATATGATATATACTTCATATGGTGGAAGAAAAATAAAGGAAAAGTTAATATAAGGTCATTACCTTAATTGTTCACACTTTTCCCAACTTTTTCCCTCTTTAATCTTCTTCCTTTGAGCACTAAAGCTTGAGCTCAAATTTGCAGCAATGGAGGTGATTTTGAAGCTCCCTCTCTCTCCCTTGGATGGTTTGGTCGAGCTCAATGGTTGGAGGGAGAGGGGATGTCTCACTTTTGTCTTAATTGACAAATGAGTGAGGGAGGGGGGTCCTCCATGTACCTTAGATGCCAAAAGCACCTCCTCCACTCCTTCCTTTGTCAACTCAGCCACCTCCTTGTTTATTTTGAGCACACAAAAACGTGGGGTGGCCCCCACCCTTGTGGGAGGTCATCCCATTAAGTCCCGATGTGTACAATCGGCCCCGAAAGTTGTATTTTTCGGACTGTTTTAAATATATTTTATTTTATCGGGTCAAATAAAATATATTATGTGCTCTTACTTATTATGACATGTATAATGAATATACATTCCCCAACTTTAATTTATAAGCCTCCGAAATTCATTTTCGGGCTGTTATCTGTTAAATTGTCAGTACCGGTAATTGGGCCTCTTTTTCCCAATCGGTCAACCCTGCGCCTTTCCACGACCCAAATAAGATATCCACCACTATATAAATATTATCTTGACCAAGATGAATAAAATATGTGGTCTCGGGAGTGTCGGGCGGCCCCCGCTCCCGGTGTGGGTCCCACGTGCAATTTACTATTCACGCGAAAAAAAAATAATAAAAAATTTACAACTTCGTAAATTCATTAATCCTTTAATAAGGTTCAATACATTATTTACACAAAAGTAAATATATTTGGGGACGGTGTTACAAGTTCACCCCCCCTTATTTGGGATTTCGTCCCCGAAATCCAAGTATCTAATCGAAAAGAAATGGGTATTGCTCCCTCATTGAGATCTCGGTCTCCCAAGTTTCTTCTTCGACTCGATCACTCCTCCAAAGAACCTTTACCATTGGAATCTCCTTATTCCTAAGCTTCTTCACTTGTTGACCAACAATCTTCACTGGTTCCACCGCATATTGCAAGTCCTCACGGATCTCTATCGGTGGTCTCTCAAGAATATGAGATGGGTCTCGCATGTACTTCTTGAGCATTGATACATGAAACACATCATGTATCTTCTCAAGTTCAGGCGCCAACTTGAGACGGTAAGCCACGGCCCCTATTCTGTCAAGGATTTCAAATGGACCGATGTATCGGGGATTAAGCTTTCCCCTTGATACAAATCGAATGATGCCCTTCCAAGGAGAAATCCTTAGGAAGACCTCATCACCGACTTCGAACTCTAACGGTCTCCGCCGTTTATCAGCATAACTTTTCTGTCGGTCCTGAGCGGCCTTCAGTCTGACCCGAATGATCCTCACCTTGGCCTTGGTGATCTCAACCAGCTCTATCCCTTCGAGTTTGGCCTCGCCAACCTCGTCCCAACACAATGGTGTTCTGCATTTCCTCCCATACAATGCCTCATATGGAGGCATGCCGATACTTGCCTGAAAACTGTTGTTATAGGCAAATTCCACTAGGGCCAGATGCTTGTCCCAACTTCCTTGGAACTCCAAAGCACATGCTCTAAGCATATCTTCCAAAATCTGTATCACCCGCTCGGACTGTCCATCCGTCTGTGGGTGAAAAGCTGTGCTAAACTTCAGTTTAGTCCCCAAAGATGCTTGAAACTTTGGCCAAAATCGGGATGTGAATCGTGGATCCCTATCCGAGACAATGGATATTGGGACTCCATGTAATCTCACAATCTCCTCCGTGTATAGCTTGGCCAATCTTTCAAGAGGATAAGTAATGTTGATAGGCAGAAAGTGTGCACTCTTGGTGAGCCTATCAACCACTACCCAAACTGCATCATAGTTGTTCACCGTTCGTGGTAGCCCCACCACGAAGTCCATGGTCACGTGCTCCCACTTCCACTCTGGGATGGTGAGTGGCTGTAAAAGTCCTACCGGGTGCCGGTGTTCTGCCTTAACTTGCTGACAAGTAAGGCATCGGCTCACATACTCTGCGATGTCTCTCTTCATACCCGACCACCAGTAACTTTCCTTCAAATCTCGGTACATTTTTGTACCTCCTGGATGCATAGCATAAGCTGAAGAATGAGCCTCCTCAAGTATAGACTTCTGGAGCTCCTCATTCTTTGGTATGCAAACACGGCCCTTAAATAATAAAGGACCGTCATCGCGTACCCGAAAATTCTCAACGGGTCCCTCAAGGATCCGTTCGCGGATCTTCTGACATTCCTCATCAATGGCCTGACATCTACTGATCTCACCCAGCAATGTAGGCCTCACCTCGAACCTTAGCAATGAGCGCCCTGGTCGTGGACACCTCCACGTGTGCCCCCAATACTCGTAGACAAGTAAGTAACATCCCTGACGTATTCTTCCTGCTCAGTGCGTCGGCCACTACATTGGCCTTTCCGGGATGATAGTCGATGATCAAGTCATAATCCTTGATCAACTCCATCCATCTCCTCTGCCTCATATTCAACTCTTTCTGAGTGAATACATACTTCAAGCTCTTATGATCAGTATAAATGTGACACGTCTCCCCGTAGAGATAATGCCTCCAAATATTCAATGCAAACACTACCGCCCCCAACCCTAGATCGTGAGTAGGGTAGTTCACTTCGTGTTTCCTCAATTGCCTAGAAGCATAGGCAATCACCTTACCGTTTTGCATTAGTACACATCCAAGCCCTCGGATGCTAGCATCACTGTAGATGTCATACCCTATCCCCTGTATGGGTAAGGCAAGGACTGGTGCTTCGGTAAGTCGTTTCTTCAATTCAAGGAACCCCTTCTCACACTTGTCGTCCCATATGAACTTGGCCCCCTTCTTTGTGAGCTTCGTTAATGGAGACGCCAATACAGAGAATTTTTCAACAAATTTACGATAGTATCCCGCTAAGCCGAGGAAACTACGTAACTCCTTCGCATTCCTGGGTCTCTCCCAATCCATGATCGCTTTTATCTTGGCGTTATCCACAGCAACACCCGAACCGGATATGACATGACCGAGGAAACCAATCTCTTTGAGCCAAAATTCGCATTTGGAGAACTTGGCGAAGAGTTGCTTTTCCCTTAGCCGATCAAGTACAAGCCTCAAATGGTGTTCGTGCTCTTCCTCGCTCTTGGAGTATATCAAGATGTCGTCAATGAATACTATCACAAATTGATCTAAGTATTCACTAAACACACGGTTCATCAAGTCCATGAATGCCGTCGGTGCGTTGGTTAAACCAAATGACATCACAAGAAACTCGTAGTGACCATATCTAGTGCGAAATGCACTCTTAGGTATGTCACTCTCCTTGATCTTCAACTGATGATACCCCGACCTCAAGTCAATCTTCGAGAATACTATGGCCCCTCGAAGTTGATCAAACAAGTCATCAATCCTAGGTAAAGGATACATGTTCTTGATTGTGACCTTGTTCAACTGTCGGTAGTCGACACACATTCTTAGCGTACCATCTTTCTTCTTTACGAAGAGTACGGGTGCTCCCCACGGTGAATGACTGGGTCTGATGAACCCGTTGTCCAATAATTCTTGTAGTTGGACCTTCAACTCTTGGAGTTCGGCCGGTGCCATTCGATAAGGAGGAATCGAAATGGGTTTGGTTCCCGGCTCCACTTCAATTACAAACTCTATCTCTCTATCGGGTGGAAGCCCCGGTAGGTCTTTGGGAAATACATCCGGGTATTTGCATACGACCCATACATCTTTGATGTCGACTTTCTTCTTGGTATCGTCCACCACGTAGGCAAGGTATGTGTGGCATCCCTTCCTCATCATCTTCCGTGCTCTCATCACGGATATGATACATGCATGGGACTTCCCCCGATCTCCTTCAAAACATAGCGTGTTCCCTTGATCATCCTCGAGCTCCAACACCTTGGTGTAGCAATCCACTCGAGCATGGTGTTTCTCGAGCCAATCTATTCCTAGGATTGCATCGAACTCCAACGTGCTTAGAGGTACGAAATCACAAGTCAAATGTTGACCCGTCACTTCTACCTCACACGACGGATAGAAATGATTCCTCTCCACGTCGTCTCCTAACGGTGTGGAGACTAGCAACGTTTGTGTCATAGGTGTCAATGGCACGTCAAGGCCCTCGGCGAACGCCTCACTCACAAATGAGCGTTGTGCCCCGGTATCGATGAGGATCCTCGCACACCTACCATTGATCTTTAATGTTCCTACATTTATACACCATGTAAGATACCTTTTCTAATGTTTTTACACATCTTTAGGAGGTTATTAGGTTCATACTAATGTTTGGAATCAAACGGGGGTCCAAACGTAGAAGAACGGGATGAAAAAATCAAGTTTCGGGTGCCAGGGGTCCACGCACGGCGTGCGTAGGGGGTACGCACGGTCGTGCATACCTTGCCTTCCCAATGGAGGCTACTGCCCCCAACGCACGGAGGGACGCACTGGCAACGCACGGCCGGGCGTGCAACGATTTCCTCCGGGGTGCTACTGCCACCAACGCACGGAGGTACGCACGGGAAACGCACGGCCGGGCGTGCAGCGATTTCCTCCAGGGTGCTACTGCCACCAACGCACGGAGGTACGCACGGGCAACGCACGGCCGTGCGTGCAGCCCAGCCTGTAGTGCGTTGGCAGAAATCAACCCGATTTCGCCCAATTTCGCTCCGTTTGATCCCGGGGTGGCCCGAACTCAACCCCCAACGGTGTATATGATCAAAATAAGCCTAGAAATACATGGAATTAAGTGTATTACCTGCGACGGAGTCCGGGTTTGCCCGCGCATCCGCCTCGGTCATCGCGTAGTCTCGTGCTTGGGCCCTGCCTTGATTGACGGACGTAGCGTTGCTCGCCGTTGGTTCCGTATGGTTTCCTTCCACGGTGAGCCCTTCCTTGGCTTGTGATGTCTCTCGTTGCCTCCTCCATGGGCAACTTAATTTCATGTGGGTTGTGCTCCCACATTCGTAGCACATCGGGGGCTCGTTGCACTTTCCGAAATGTTTCTTAAAGCAATTCGAACATTTGGATGGTCTGAAAGAGTAAGGAAAGGACGTATGCCACCTTGAGGTCCTTTTCTTTTTCACCGGTGATGCCGGTGCCGTAAGAGTGCTTTCTCCTCCTTGGTCGTTTGCCCAAGGATTGGTTTGGCTGACAGTCATATCACGTTGGGAGGTGGCCCGATCTCGCCTCGCCTGACGCCTACGTTCGTTCCTCCTGGTGTTCATGTTACACAACGAGCCCACTTGATTAGCGCTTGCCGCTTGGCGGCCCTCACGGCCCCCATGGCCTATTCCTCTCCCCGTAAAGGCTCGTGACACAGCCCGGCTAGCCTCAAGGTAAGCTACCGACGCTTGTCCCTTAGGGTCATTCCTTGTTTCCATTCGCTTACCCTCCATTTCTGAAACGGAATTTGGACGAGTCTTTAGACTCCTATGAATGTCAATTGACGGAAAAACGTTATAGACACGTATTGACCCAAGTCACCACCATACCAATTGTTAAGGGTACCGTCTTAACAATCAGAGGCCCTGCAACTTAAGCACCAATAGTCCCATAAACGTCAAAATACAATGCTCATGGTTTTCGGTAAAAACTCTTCTGTAAAATCTTTTGTGAGAGGTTGACTATATAGTTTAGAACTGAGATGGCTCTGATACCACTTAATTGTCACGCCCCAGA